CCCCCCCCCCCCCCCACATTGAGCACGCGGATCCAGCCTCGGGCTCCTGCCCTGGGCGTGTGGACCCCAGACTCGGGCCTCCTCTCTTGAGCGTGGACCCCAGGCTTGGGCCTCCTGCCCTGGGTGCATGGACCCCAGACTCGGTCCTCCTGCCCTGCAGGGGATAGCAGAACTAAACATTCATCTCTGGAAAACAGCACAATCTTTCCTCAAGGGAAAAGCAGTATGTTCGCTGCTTTATCTGAGAAAGCACGTCCGTCCCGCGTTCCGGTGTGCTCCCCGTGACTGCGCTGGCGCAAAGGGCTGAGAGATGTCACTTGTAAAGCACCTAAGGCTGTTTTTCTTTATCCCCTTTTTTTTTAAGCAACGGAAATGTCCAGATTCAAATACCACAGATACAGTGAGAGGGTTTTTGACAACAGGACAACAGTATGGGACAAAAAAAAAGTGGAAACGAGGACATATTTTGCTAGAGAGCAACTTGCCCATCTCAGCTCTGGGCTCTTAACGAAAGCTCTTAAAGACACAGAGAGCTCGTTTCCGGGTTCAGCTCACTCCTCAGGGAGCGGGCTGTTTCCTGGGTTGTGGACTTGCTGAGGAGCCTGGCCTGATGAAGCATTAGATTATTCAGGAAGGAGGGGGCTCACGTGGGACGAGGGCGCTTCACTCATCACAGCTCCGGGGGCGAGAGCGCCACAAGGGCCCAGTTCCCTTCTGTGTCTAATTTTCATTTAACAACCACATCTCAAAGAGAACTGCACACACATGTGCACGCGCACGCAATATCCAGCGTGAGCCGAGCAACAGACCCGTGTGTGTGAATCACACACATCTCCCTACGCAGGTCTAGAGAGAGAGGTCTGCCCGATCACGTGGATGGAAAGACAGCAAGGCTTTGGACAAAGGAGCAGGAAAGTAACCATGAGGTCAACTTGTCTCGGATCAAACTACAGGACTTCCTTTTTCTGCTGCAGGATTGTTGAGTGACTACTCGGTGCCACCCTATACTTTCTCCCAGGTTGGGGAGGGGGAACCACGGCTAGACCCAGACCCGACTCCCGACTCCCAGGCCACAGACTCACAGGCCTTTATCGCGAGTGCTGGCAGTCTCAGCTGATGTCAATGTTTTGTTACAATAAAAGAGGCAACTTACTTTTTTCTAGGATCCCTAAATTATAACATAGAGGTCTTAAAAAATCACTCATCCTGGAGCCAATTTTTCCCGTTTAAAAACATTCTTTCAGGGATACCTGTGTGGCTCGGTCGGTTAAGCGTCTGACTTCAACTCAGGTCATGATCTCACGGTTCTGTTCGTGAGTTCGAGCCCCATGTCAGGCTCTGTGCTGACAGCTCAGAGCCTGGAACCCGGTTCAGATTCTGTGTCTCTCTCTCTGCCTCTCCGCCACTCGTGCTCTGCCTCTCTCTCTCTCTCTCAAAAGTAGATAAACGTTAAAAATAAATAAATAAATAAAAACATTCTTTCAGGTGAATGGATGAATCTATCGTCGAGGTCATTCTCAACCTGGTTTTATCCTCTTAGGCACATATTTCACCATCACGGAGAAAACCAGGGGACCAGCGGACGCAGCCTGGTCGTGCGACCATCCCTCACTTAGCTCCCATCAGCCCAGTCTTACCCAGGGCGAGCTTGGCCATCTTCAAGTTGTTGGTCCAGGACTCTTTGATGGCAGGCGTGAACGTATTGAACACAGCCGTGAAGAACGTGGGCCGCCCGGACCTGCCAGGGACAGAGGAAAGGCATTCGTGTCCCGCATTGTGCCCCATCCGGGACACCGCACCCTGCCTGCCAGGCGCCATCACCAGACCATGAAGGCTGGCGTCACGGCAGGGCGGGCTCCCCGGCCGGCCAAGGAGGCCCCTGGCAGGGTCACTACTAACTTGTCCTGCTTCCCGGGAAGCTGTAACTGGAGTCTGCAGCAGTCCGCAGCCCTGATCTCCTCTTCTTTCTTCAAGATGAGCCTTTGTAAACCTGACGTCCAGTCGTGGGCTACTGACTGGTTTAGGTTCTGCCAACGAAACACATACGCGCACGCTTTACGTGCGTGAAAAAGGCGGGGCCGGCACAAGGAGGACAGCAAGGCGGGACCAGGAAAGTTCAGAGGAGACAGTAACGCTCTGTTGGATTCCAAACACGAACCCGGGGCTCGGGCCGCGTGCCGGTCTGGCTCAGACATGTCTGAGAGGGAACTGCTACTCAAGGCCACGCGCAGACGGAGGACGGCAACCCTGAAATAGTCCCGCCCCACCCGAAACGGGAGAAAACACGCAGGCGGACTGGTTCTTGAAACCACTGTAATCGTCACGTCTGGTGGGACCCGGAGGCACGGCCACGCTCTGACAAGGACTCACAAGTGACAAAAGAATTCCGAGTCACGCGGCTTCGACCGTTACCTGATAGTTCCCCTTGAGGTTACCGATCAGCTGGGAAATCTGACCGATGACGTTCAGGTCATGTAGGAGGTTCTGCAGATCCTGGTACAGCTGTCCCGGCCCCACGTACACCTGGTCTGCAAAACAAGCAAGCAGCACGCACCTGAAGCGCCGTCTGCACCTATGCTGGCGGGGGGGAGAAAGCACTAAAATTAAGATTCCGGTCGACTTAGAATGTTTTTAAAAAGTAGGTACTTCCAAGCACTTGGTGGTTTTTCCTTTTCTAAGTTTTAACTGTGGAATGATTTCAGACATAAGAAAGACGCACAGAGGTCCCCCGCGTACGCCATTCGCCCTGCGTCCCGGGACGCCGCGATCTCACGGAGCCACACAGACACAGCACTGCTAAGTAACCTGCAGCCTCCCCACTCAAGTCATCTCGGTGCGCGGTCCCACGCGCACTCAGCTGCTGTGGTCTCCTTAACTCTCCTCCGGTCTAGGCCCGTTCCTTGGGCGTCTGTCTTTCATGACCTCAACTTTGTGACCCGAGCCAGTGAGCTGTTTCACGGAGCATTTCACGCTCTGGCTCTGACGGACGGTTTACCGCTCTGGGTGTTCTCTAAGCCTTGTTGATGTCATTGCGGTAAGCGGTGTCTACACATGGCACCGGACCCAAACCAAATTTCCCGTAACCAGGGTCATCCGACACCAGAGTGGGCTCCCCAGTGCGCTGTCTCTAATGTGAACAACAGGAACACAGACAGGACTCTCGTGTCCGGGGGGAGGGGAGAGGGGGACAGCGTCCCTCCAGGGCCCGCCCCCCCGCTGCCCTGGACTCAGGGCGGCCCTGCAGGTCACAGGACGCAGTTCCAAGTATTCTGTCACTTCCCCCCACGGTCACACAGGCAGGATTCACACACAGAACCACACTCACACCCCCACACTTTGAAGAACGTGCAGTGGTAGCCACACTTCTCTCCCACGTCCACGGAAGTATACCGCCTCGCGTCCCCTCGACAGTAACCGGCAACAGGCAGAGCAGGAGCTCCGACCCAGGGACGAGGGGAGGCTCCGCTGGGTGAGCAAGAGGTGTCTCTCGGGGTTCATGTTTCCGTGGCACCAGCTTCATGGCGTCAGCCCGCGAGCCAGTGGTCAGAGCTGCCCTCAGAGCTCAGCACGAGGCTGTGCCGGGTTGGGCATCGACACTCGGTAAATGAAATTGAGTACGTGTGTTGTTAGCCAAAATTATCTTAAATTACAAACGTACTGTTAGGGAAGAACAGGATGTAAAGTTGACCCATGTGACCACGGGGACGGTTTTTCAGGCGTGGCCCAGAAGAAACCAGGTCTCCTGGTTGGTTCCAGGCTCCACTGACCGTGACTCAGAATCCTTAAGAGTTGTGAACTAGGTGCCCTGTGTTTTCATGGTGCGCGTGGCCCAGCACATGGGGCGGTGGGGGGGACAGAGATCTGAGGCAGGTTCCGAGCTGTCCGTGCAGATCCCGCCATGGGGCCCCACAAAAATCTGCCACGCTCTGGGCAGGTGCCGGTCCCGCCCGCCCTGTGTGCCCCCGAGGACGGACAAGTACAGCCATGCCAGTGACTTTCACACTCATCTTCAGGGACAGCGACGGGACGGAATCCTACACAGTCGCACGCACTGCCCCACAACATGCTCAGCCTGCACCCATTTCTCCAGACGTCTGAAGACCTTCTCCTAGGAACGTGTTCAAAGAGGCGACGGTGGGTCTCCTCCAGTGAAGACCCCATCCCCTCCCCGGCCCCCATTAGCACAGTTCCCTGAAAACTGGGGGTGCCCCAGACGTGCCGGTGAACGGACGGAGGCTGTAAGGACCCTGCATGAGGAAAACCCTGGGGCGCCTGGGGGCTGAGTCGGGTAACCTTCTGACTCCTGATCTCAGCTCAGCTCACGACCTCACGGTTCATGAGTTCGAGCCCCGCGTCAGGCTCTGTGCTGACAGCGTGGAGCCTGCTCGGGATTCTCTCTCTCCCTCTCTGCCCCTCACCTGCTGGCGCACGTGAGCTCTCTCTGTCTCTCTCAAAATAAATAAATGAACATTAAAAAAGAAAGAAAGAAAACACCTTGTCTCTGGCGACAGGTGAATTCATTCTCCTGTGAACGCACTCCCAGACAGGCTGAGGCCCCGTGCACGTAACCCCGCCGCTGGGGTGGAGGCGGCAACGGGGGCTCTAAGGTCACCAGCTCTGACTCACAGTGTCCGTGAAAACTTTTCAGTCACCCCGGAACAAAGCACGGAATTTTGCGAAATACCTTCAAGAGGCCTGTTTTCTGCAACGAAGCCGTGGGGTCGCAGAGGACCCAGCACGCACCCGGGGGCACCGGCCCCCAGCGCAGACGTTAGCGCCAATGAAACGTCACGGGTCGGGGAGGCGAACCCAGCGGCTCTTCTGGGGACGAGGCGTGTGTGCGGCTCCTGGGGCCCACGCGCGGCGGCCACGCCGGCAGCTTCCGACAGTGGTTGCTACGCAGTGACGCCCACACTTCATCTCCAGCACTGAATAACACACCGAATTTTCCGGGCTGGCTTTCAGAGCACAGCCATTCCAACAGCAGGAGAGTCATGGGGCTATCCACAGAGCACAATCGTTCCTACTTCGCGGCTCGAAATAATCGAGGCATGACAAATCAAGAGAATCAGAAGGAACACAAGCAGTGTGGGCGCATCTGAATCCGTTCTATAAAAACCCTGAGCCGCTGGGTACAGGCCTGCTGCACCGTGACTCGTGGACGGGCACGGTTCTATCTGCACGAAAACTAAGCCACTCGCTGGCCGCAGGCTGGTGCGAAGGAGATCAATACTATGGATTGGCTACACAGACCGGGTCACTTTCTGGCCCCAACAACAGACTGTCCCTCGTTCCTGATGAGTCTGGACCGGGCGGGATGACCCCTGCTGCAGAACTCGCCAGTGACCACATTCCCAGCCAGCGCCTCTGGAGCACAGGAGCCCAGACGCCCTGCCCGGAAGCCTGAAATTGCCCCGGAGAAGCCCGACTTGAGTTCGGTCTTCTAACGCACACGGATTCCACACGTTTTAATTTGTTAAAAAAAAAATTATCTTTAACCTGGAAGGCATTTAAACCACCAAACACATTTACTCCACACCGGTCTTTTCGGAGCCCAGAGCTAAAATTGCAATCCACCCTGTGGACAGGGAAACCACGGGACTGACGGCCACACAGCAAAGCTGCACCCCTAAACCTGGAACCCAGCAAACAGACGTCCCACAGCCGTCCGTGTGTAGGGACCTCCTGAACTGTAGTCTCGGTGCCCACCGGACCCCCAGCTCTGGGCAGTGTCTGTCCACCGGTCACCGCCAAGGTAACGCCCACTGTCCACGTAAGGTGGGTGAGCCGTACCGTAGGAACACCACGATAAAAACGTTAACGCTGAAACAAGTAACATGTCCAACACAGAACTGACACCGTTAAATGACTGTGTCAGGAAACCGGGACATCAGGGTGGGCAGTGACCCTGCCAAGTGCCCTTCTCAGGACTCCAGGGCCACGAACACTGCTTCCTGGAGCTTCCTTGAGGCCTTTCCATCTGGAAAGCTGCGTCCAGAAAATTCCCAATCAAACCCTTCCATGGCCACAGTCTATTAACGATGGGCGATTCCTCCATGGATGGACAAGCACGTTAAGTCTTTCTCCTGGAGAAGCTGGTATCACCTGAACATCACCAGCCACCTTCATTCTGCTCTTTGCTGTTCTGAGAAACAGACAGTTTACCAAGTAACCAGCAGTGATTCAGTTTTCCTTCTCTGACCCAATGCTTCGTTCTCCTGGCGTCTGACCGCACATGTAACAGAAGCACGAGAGCAAGAGGAACATAGGATGAAACATGGGACAAGGGCCCCTAGGCCCCAAAGCAGCGTCTCAGGTCCCCAAGTCCACGCAGCTCCACACTGACCTTAGAGCCCTTCCTTTCAGATGCGACAATCCCTAGGTTGCCTGGGTGGCTCAGTTGGTTGAGCGTCCGACTTCAGCTCAGGTCACGATCTCACAGTTCGTGGGTTCGAGCCCCACATTGGGCTCTGTACTGACACCCAGGAGCCTGGAGACGGCTTCACATTCTGTGTCTCCCTCTCTCTGCCCCTCCCCCGCTCATGTTCTCTCTTTCAAAATAAATACTTCAAAAGCATTAATGTTTAATATAAAGGCTCATTCCATGCATAAAAAGGCTTACTGAAAGTTCCCATTCATAACTCGGGCAGAGGCCAGCAAGTGAGTGAAACTCAGCCAGGTTTTATTTGGATTAAAAGAGAGAGAGGGAAGGAGAAAGTCATGAATACTATGCTATGTCCAAAATCCACAGTCCAAAGACCACAGTAATATTTAGTAAGAAATATTACACAACTGTTGAAGCATTGCCAAAGTTATCAGGACACCCTTGGCTCATCTCACCCCGTCAGGCGCAGAGGCCAGCACCCCCTCCACAAGGAGCCTGGGGAAGAGAGAAAGGGCTTCCCGGGCTGGTCCATGCAGAGCTGAACCTACAACCCAGATCCACACACTCAAGGATGTCCTGTGTGGCAACTCAGTGCACACTCAGGAGACAGGAGCCAGAGCCCTAACTGCTTATGTGGGAAATGCAGAACAGAACAGAAATCAAACCTGGGGAGACTGAATGCACCCATGTGATGGGATTTCCCCATAAACCCACAGGATGCACACCAGTGGAGACAAGCTCAAAGATGAGGGTTCAGTCTACACTTGTCAGCCAACATAAAATACAGGCGCCAAAGACGACATCATCCAACGGCTTGACCATCTACCTGGGTCCTTGGATTCATGTTGAGGCCACGGAAACAGGGTCTATTAGGTCAGTGCAGATGCCAGCCCCACAACGCACAAGCACGTTAGTAAAAGTGTCACTTACTTGGCTTAGCGTTGGCAACGACCGCCAGGCTCTCAGGTGGGTACACCGGGGGACACCTGTTTTCTCCAGCACCTTCATTATTGCCGTACTCTATTACTTCTACGTGTCCGAGAGGAACACTCCACTTTAACAAATACCTTTGGCTGGTGGACATCGTGCTGCTGTCCGAGGTGCTGAAACATCGTTATTTCATGGTTAATTAATTACGTGCGCAAGTCTTGATACTTTTTATATCCCTTAGTCAGGTGAGTAACATCCACCTATTGAAACATCCTGCTCATGACCTTCTTACTAACAGTTACCACTTGGTTCCATAATGAGGCCTCCCCTTAGATGAGAGGGTAGGAATTCTTCACTGTCTAATCCAGGAAAACGGGAGAACACGAATGCTGATCTGCCAGAAAGCTCTCAGTTTCCCACAAGAGCTTAGAGGGAATGAACTGGAAGACCCCTGATGACTCTTTGAGCAAAGATGCTCATGGATTCTGGCAAATACTGTTAACAGGGAAACTCTCCTATGTGCACAGAGATATTCTCTGGTCATTTCATTTGAATGAACCTTAAAGTTCCTCGTACTGTTGGTTGTGGTATAAGCATTTTAATAAGATTAAATCATGTCATCATACTCCATGTTTATAATACTTATTGACTGTGGGGGCAGCTGGGTGGCTCAGTTAGTTGAGCATCCGACTTTGGCCCAGGTCATGATCTTGTGGTTCAGCCTGGAGCTGATTCTGTGTCTTCAGATTCTGTGTCTCCCCCTCTCTCTGCCCCTCCCCTGCTTGTGCTCTGTGTGTCTCTTTCTCTCAAAAGTAAACAAATATTAAAAATATTTTTTACTTATTGACTATGTAGAAATTACACACAAAAAAATCCCATGACCTACAGAGACTATTTTCTTCTTTAATGATAAAATGAAGCACGCAGAGAAACATACCAAGCATACTGGTTCAGGTAGGTGGAAAATGCCAGAGCAGCCACCTGTGTGACCACCCCCCAGTCCAGGCTATAGGGCTGCCAGCACCCTGAGGCCCTCCATGTGACCAGGAAAACCCCACCCCTCTGAAGCAATCAATGTTCTTACTCCTACTGATAATCAGTTTGCTTTCTTTGAGATTTTTTTTTTTCCAATCAAAATGTATTTGGGAATAATGCTTTACACTGAAATCCTTGACCTGATAGGAGTCAGCTGGGACCAAAGCTCCTGGACTCCTCTCTGCTATGAAAGGGTTTGCTTTTCAGCTTGTAGCCCACACGGGAAGGGGGAGAAGGCAGAGTTCAGACGCTGGTAGGAAATGAAAGACTGAGTTCTATGAATTAGATGTGCTTTATATTTAAAAATGAAGAGGTTTGTGAACTTGACCTCAAATTTCTACCCATCCTATTTGAATCAAAAATCTTTGCTTCTGCAGAGGTTTGGGATCTCGATGTTCTGAGGTTATCAGGGGGTCTCCTGGGGCTATTTTAACATCTCCACCAGACCAAAGTGGGTCCTCCTTCACCACCTTCCAGGAGAGTCGCTGATAACACATCAGTGGGAACTGAACTGTTCCTCTTTACTCACTTTGTAAAAAGGTGTCAAAACTCGGGACCTATGCCACAGCCCGGGCATTATTTTAAAAAATAGACCTGGCAGCTAACACAGCTACATCCATTTTTAAGGATTCATTCGTTTCTTATTCGGCTTGAAATTTTTAAAATTACATACAAATTTCAAAAGAACCAAATGGACATGGCTCCTTTGGTGGATCATGCACCTGGGCTGCCCACGAGACGCTGCATGATGCCACGTGCAGGGAGGGTGGCCCTCCCACTACATTCAGACAAAGGTTGCTTGCGAACAGCAAATACGTTAGGCAAGAAACACCCACATCTGCTCTGTGCTGAGCTGTCTACAAAGTCATCTCACTGTGTGACCTCATCTTTCATGGCGGCACCTCCCGGGCAGGCAGGGGGCGTCTGGGGCAGCCTCGCCCAGAGCCAGTGTGGGGAAAAGGCACTGGCTTCACCTGGAAATGGGGGGTGGGGGCGCTTCCTGGGCAGTTAAGCCTGGGAGCCATGCTGCTAACCACGTGCCATTAACTTCCGTGTTGCAGGAAGCAGCACACGGGCTGGGAAGCCAAGAGCAGAAAGGTCTTGCTGGGGAGACACACCCCGCAAGCCTCCCCGGGCGTCCAGACTCGGCACACACCTCACAACGCACGGACGCCACTGGCTGCTCCTTTCTACACGTGGACGAAGGCAGGGACCAGACCACACCAAACGTGGCTGCTTCCAGAGGTCAAAGTGTGGCCACGGCAAATCGAATGATAAACGCTGAGCCACTGACAGGGACCAAACAAACAGGATTCTTGCCAAAGGGGGTGGTCGTTTAAAATCGGTAGATTTCCCAGGGGCGCCTGGGCGGCTCGGTCAGTTAAGCCCCCGACTCTTGGTTTTGGCTCAGGTCACGATCTCACGGTTTCGTGAGTTCAAGCCCCACATCAGCTCTATGCTGGCAGCACGGAGCCTGCTTGGGATTCTCTCTCTCTCTCTCTCTCTCTCTCTGCCCCTCCCCCACTCATACTGTCTCTGTCTCTGTCTCTCTCAAATAAATAAACTTTAAAAGAAATAATAGGGGCGCCTGGGTGGCGCAGTCGGTTAAGCATCCAACTTCAGCCAGGTCACGATCTCACGGTCCGTGAGTTCGAGCCCCGCGTCAGGCTCTGGGCTGATGGCTCAGAGCCTGGAGCCTGTTTCCGATTCTGTGTCTCCCTCTCTCTCTGCCCCTCCCCCGTTCATGCTCTGTCTCTCTCTGTCCCAAAAATAAATAAAAAACGTTGAAAAAAAAAAAAAGAAATAATAATATAAAATAAAATTGGTAGATTTTCCAGCCTTATCTCATAGCTGCCTCAGATCAAGTGTGGCCGAGGAGGAGCCCTAACAGAGGTGATGGTTACTGGGCAGGACCGTGCCAGGCGCTGAGCTGAAAGTCTGACGATGGTCCTGGGCTGGACCCTCACAGAGGTCCCAGGGGTGCCTGGCTTCCCCACCATATGAGCACGGGTGTGAGGCTCAGCGAGATGGGGTGGTTCCCAATGTCCTGAGAAGGCCGGGCTGGGACGGGGCTGGAACCCAGGCTGTGCAGCGTAAGCCCATAGAGACTCTCCCACCCGGCTGCCCGCTGAGGCCCCACTCAGCCTGTGCTGGGGAGGGCCTAATGCCTGGCTTCCGCTGGGAGGGGAAGGCCTCACTGTCTCCCTGGCCAGTCTCCACGCTGTAAACACACACGGTGGGCGATTTCAAGCAGGCAGTGGTTTGGAAACCGTCTCCCAAGCTCCTGAGCATGAACAGCAATCCCTCTCAAGCCATGACGAGCTGGCTCAGGATATCAGCGTGTGTGACTTTATAAAACACCCGGAGCATTCAATTCAAAACATGCCATTTTACCTCAGTTCCCTTACAATCCACTTCTACGTGTAACTTCTCAGATTTCGTCAACCAGCTACAATATTCTAGGTGTTGGGGAGGTTTTTTTGTAATCTTTATTTATTTTTCAGAGAAAGAGAGAGCGAGTGAGCGCAGGGGAGGGGCAGAGAGAGAGCGACACACACACAGAATCTGAAGCAGGCTCCAGGCTCTGAGCTGTCCGCAGAGCCCGACACAGGGCTCGAACTCTCAAGCAGTGAAATCATGACCTGAGCCGAAGTTGGATAGTTAACCGACTGAGCCCCCAGGTGCCCTGGGGAGCAGTTCTAATGATAAACAAATTTAAGTGTAGGAAATGCTGAAGCACTATAGCCTCGTTTCTTTGGTTTCACAGTGAACATAAATGCCTCCAATATAATTATATAAGATGCACTCATCAAAAATGTATTCACAGAGAGGCAGCTAAGGAGAAAAATCTGAGTGAGCAATGATACAACAAGACTGCAGAGTGATTTAGGAGGCAAATAAAAGAAACTCAATGTAGCTTCTGGTTCCAACGTTGGCCTTACGTTTAAAGAGAAATAGACCAAACGTCCCTAATCTCCACCAACAGTGACCTGGCGACTTAACAATGGACTCCTTTATTATTTTTTTAATTTTTCAAGTGTTTATTCATGCTTTTTAAGAGAGTGACAGAGTGTGAGCAGGGGAGGGGCAGAGAGAGAGAGAAGGAGACAGAATCCAAGGCAGGCTCCAGGCTGTGAGCTGTCAGCACAGAGCCCGACATGGGGCTTGAACCCATTGTCCCTGAGACCATAACCTGAGCTGACGTCGGACGCTTAACGAGCTGAGCCCCCCAGGTACCCCAACACTGCACCCATTTAGCCCTCAGCTTCTTGGGGACCCGACTCTCCGCAAACCCTCGGCTTGATTGGGACCTGGCCCCCCGCAATCCCAGGAGAGGGGATGAAGACATGCACACAGGCCAGCGCAGCACGGATGGGAGCGATCACGGAGTCACCCGCTCAGCCGGGACGCGCCCCGCACGCGAGCATGAAGATACCCCGGTGGCCGCGGCAGACGCTCACCGTGTGCTGACCGTGGCACACACCAACACATCACTCAGCATGAAGATCCGACGCTCCTTGGTTTTCATGATCTCCCCTCTGTCGTTGTACACGGTTTCGATCATATCGTCAGACCGCACGAGGTACCGATTCCCACTGCTGAGAAGCTGAACATTCAAGGTCAGGCTCGACACGGTTCCCACAACCAAGTTCATCAAAAGAAGAAAACAGGTGAGCAAAAGTCTTGCAACATATAGGCATATAGAGTGTCAACGTTTACAGATTTTTCCTCACGGAGAGTCCATGCACTTTCAAGGCAAGCATGCTTCATATGTATGCTATTAAGAATTCAGAAAGTGGCTTTTTTCTTAAGCTAAATAGTTGTATGGCCAGCGTCTGCAGTTATCCTGAACAGCGAGAGGAGACTAACCCTGTCCTCGTAAACACAATGCCTCCGGCAAGGAGGGCTCATTCATTTCCACCCGGCGCTCCTCATATTCCCTTCTCCTTAGATGACGTGCCCGAGTGCCTGCTCCATTCCTCACACACCGCCGTCCACACCTAGCCACCACTCTGTTCTTTACAACACCGCACAGCCGAGAGTACTTACGAGTGCAATGCTACTTGGTCTTACTCTTCCCAGGGTAACAATTATGGAAACATCTTTGCTTCTTGTGATTCCCCACATTTTATTTCACTGAGTCAAACACGACACCCTTGGTCTTCGGAGACATGCTTTGTATTAATTAGTAAACTGAAGTAAGTCACACAGAAGTCGGACTTCTTGCAACAATTCAGCCCAAAAGGACATCTGGAACCCTCAGCCCAGATGATCAGTAGCGTGTCTGGATTGTAAATCTGCAGCGGCCGAGCTCACCGCCTACCTATTCTTGACGTGCTCACAGGGTAACGGGGCTGTGCGCACAGGTACGGAATCGGTAGTGAGCGACAAGGCTCTGCCTCCTCGTCCGCCTGGGCTCACTCTGTGCCGCATGGGTTTGCAAACGCTGTGACCACAAGCGGGCATGACTCTGAACCACGCAAACTGTCATTTAATGCAATTTTTGGCTCATAGAAATTCCCATACAAATCACTTAGAAAATCAGGAAAACCCGTTCCTTAAAACGTAATACAGTAAAGTTCTCGTAGTTAAACTGAGTGTCACTTTGTGCTCAGAAATTACCCCTAATGACAAAAACGAAAGGTGACATTAGCAACGATACATACGATAGATAACTATCTATCTATCTATCTATCTATCTATTGACAGCTCCTGTCAATAACTTCTTCTGGGGGCCAGAGCCATGCACAGCTATGGAAAAGCCCACCTAAAACCAGCTTAGTGTTGCAGGAAAAGGACTTGTGAACGTAAAGAGGAAACAGAGCTCTGCCCAGGAGCTGCTTTCCTGCCATATTTTGGCCCGTTTCCATGACGAACACAGCTTAAGACACGCACAGATGGGTGCAGGTGAGAACGTAAGCAACACTTCCTGATTTTATCGTGACCATCCAAAAGGAAATACTGCATTCTGGCAACAGATTCAGCTACGAGAGCTGATGGGAACCACCATGGCGGTCCCGGACCCGTCTGCGGGTCTCATGACAGTGGGAGCCCCTTCCCCGAGAAAATGTGCCACGACCCGCCTGACGCTCCCCACTGGCTTCCAGACCAGGGCTCTGGGTCACGGCATCGCTGCAAAGCGTCCACGAGATTAGTAGCAAGCAGGTGACATACGGGTGGCTCATTAGTAGAAAGCAAACCGAACACCAGCCCAGACCGGGACGCCTCGGGCAACCTTGTTCAGGTATCGCTCGTTTATGGCTTTGGCCACGTGCTTGATCTCACAGCGCTGGTCAGCGTCCCTCTTCCTCTCGTTGAGCTTCTCCGCCAACGTCTCCAGCTCCGTCAGCGCCATCTGAAGGGGCAGCCGGTCAGGGTGCCCTTTGGACGTGTTCTTCAGCATGTCCTTGGGGAGAGGAAACACGGTGAACAGGGGGCACGTGCTTGCTGGTGCGGAGGCGCAGACGGCTGCACAGGCACGCGTCCAACCAACACCGCGTGGCGCACAAGCCGGCAGCGCTCGGGCTACTTGTGGGGAGGAACAGAATGAGCACGGCGGCCAGGATGGTAAGCTAGCTGACTCACGGTTTGGCTGAACACCAGAACGGCTCCTTGTGCAAAAACAAACTCACTCAGTGGCTTTGCTGATGGAGGAAGCCAGCGTTTTCCAATAACAGGCACCATAATCACAGGCACGCCACATCTCGGAAACGTCCCGTGCCCGGCAGCGGTGTTCAAGGTCATGCCTAGACCGTTTCCCTCCAGCGGAGCCGGACCAATGGAGCCCGGCCCCACGCACGGCTCCAGCTGCTGTGTTTCAACAGGTCTGCTCCCGAACGCCAAGTGGGCACGGCTGCTGGGGCGCCTCGGGCCGCAGCCCCGGCTTCCCCGCACACGGCAGGGCCTCGCCCCACCCCGGGCGCCCCACCCCTGCCAGAAGCCTCTGTCTACGCCTGCAGGGCCACAAAGGGACGAGCAGGCTGCAGGAAGGATGTGCGGCAGGGAGTGACAACGTGGTCACCAACAGAATGACGTCACGTGGGTCAAACACAGGGGAGGCTCTCAAGAGCGACATCTAAGTGACAGTCCTGACGTCACCACCTCGATTCCACACAGGCCCTACCGCGTTCCAGCTGCCACAGACGACGTGCTGACCTCTGCCGAGGGAGGCAGACACGTGCGGGTGTGCCCCCCTCGGGCCAGCCTGGCCCTCCGCCCGGCCTCCCCATGCTAACACCTGCTTAACCCGAGCTTGAACTCAACGGCACCCTCATCTTCTAAACCTGCTTTTCGTTCTTTATCGGGAAAAAACAAAGCACCGCACAAATGATGAAATACTTCTGGTCTGAACGAACACTGTATGCTGAGCTGCGATACATCTGCGCCCCCGTGAGTCACATCAAATCCTGGCAAGGGAAGTCGACAGTCTCACGATGGGTTCTGGCTCCACCGTCACCTGCTGGCAGCATCTACGTGCTATCTGAGCGCCATCAGGACAAGCAGCAGGGAGGACCCGCCAGATGCCGGGACAGAACCATGTGAGGGAAGAGGGGAGTCCGTTGTTCTCTCCGGACTGTTACTTATTTGGGGACAACGCAGGACAGGAGACAGGAGTGGGATACAGCGAGACGAATTCCAGGAGGACCACGTGTTGGAACCCGCAGGCCCAGGAGACCTGGGAAGGTTCAGGGAAGGCTGTGGGGTCCTGGCGCCACAGGGGCCCGGGCCCAGGAGAGCCGGGGATCAGCACACAGACAAGGAGGACAGGGTGCTGACGGGTCACAGGAGGGGAAGGAAGCACACCAGTCCCCAGGCCGTCCCTCCCCGAGCACTGACAGTTCAGGAGGGAGGGAGGGCACTGTCCTCCAGCTCCTGGGAGCCGGGTCTCCGGGCGCCCCCACGCAGCCCTCTCAGGTGCACAAACTTCACCCCGTCCGACTCCTGCTGTGTGTCTTCCTAAGTAACCCGGACCCTCCCTGAGCCGCCCCCAGAGTGAACCCTGAGGGACAGAGGGCGGGCCACCAGGGAGCCTGCTCACGCATCTGGAGACATCTCGGGTGAGTCTCCCGGGTGCCCAGGTAGGACGGGGAGGGGTGGGGGAGGAACACCACAGTCCCAGGAAACAAGGGCGGGGGGGACAGAAACGCGCCGCCTTTTGTAAGGGGACTGCTCTTAGACAAAAATCAGAGAAACGTCACCCAGGACCACGTCCTTGCTCTCAAGCAGTACGAGGCTCAGAGCTCGTCCTGAGAGGCTTTTGTTCTGTTGCCCACGGCCTTCTCACCCTTCTGGAAAAATTGATTTTGGTAAAGCCCTGTGCCAAAGGTTTGCCGTCGTTTATTAACGGCTAACCAAAAGCCGGAAAGCCAGACTGCAGACTACGTCCGACTTTAATTAACTAAGGACGAAACGCTACTCACGAGCGAGGTGTGATGACCCGACAGTACCTCAGCGCACGCGGAAACGCGGGCGACCGGCGATCACTTAGCAGCACGTCACTAAGCGCGGTCTGCCCAAGCACTCGAACATACACCGCACCGGTTACAAGCACTTCCGTCTTTGCTCTTGGCGCCTGGGTCGTGACCTACCGACCGCCAGCACCTGTGGCCCGGGAGGCTGGTCCCCGTCTAGCTACACAAGGAGCTAGCTGGTTTCTGGGTGTGACACCTTTCTTCCTCACCACCCTCTGCCACCCTCTGCGGTGGACCGACGCAGGCCTGGAGCCTCACGTTCGGAGAGCCTGGCAAATACCTGTCAACTGGAGGAATAAAACGCGTTTCCCGGATATTCTGATCTCAGGGGGAAATCATCGGGCTTTTGTTGTTAACATTCTGACCCAGGCACTTGGAAACCAGACACCTGATCTAACACGTTCGTGTGACTGGACACGCACCGGGAAACACAAGTGGAAAAGGAAGAAAGACGAGAGTAACCACAGAAGCAGCCGATGTTCACGTTTCACGTCTGTACCTTTTTCTTCCTATTTTCACGACTCCTCTGCATAAAAGGAGTCAGTAAGCCGGGCAAAGCCGCCCAACGTCCTCGGGAGGGCAAGCTGAGGGATCTAAGAGACCCAACGCCGCAGGGGCCAGCGGGACCGTCCTCAGAAATGCCATTTTCAGGCAGTTCCGGGAGGTAGGTGCAGAGCGCCCCCGGTCGCGGGGTCACGGGCTTTGGAGTGGACAAGGGGTACGCACGGACAGTGCGTCACACGGGAGCGGGCCGGGCTTCCCAGGACGGTATTTCCTACCCCCGCTCGGAACCAGTCCTGTCAGAAACAACACGTGTACTAGTCTGAATAGCGTTAGTCTGAACAAACGCGGGGTCCGCTGGGAAACCTCTTCTCCGGGGAACCTCCCGCTCCCTGGACTGTCTGTGCACCAAGCTCACGGCCGGCACGGTCGGTCTGAGTCTCCACTCAGTCTCCTGAGCCTGCGCCCGCCCCCAGGGCACAGAGGATGGGACGTTTTCCCCCGCAACCCTGGACCCGACCCTGACTTGGCAGACGGAGCAGGTTCCTCTCCGCCCCGGGGAGTCCGGCCACCTCCACCCGCGCGCAAGAGCGCGGGTGGGGCCCGGGGCCATGTCCACGCTCGCTCGGGGCCCCTGCCCACGACCCCGCGTGCCCTCACCTGCAGCAGGAGGATGAACTGCGGGAACCTCTGTATGGGCTTCATCATCAGGCTGTAGAGTGTGATGCGGTCGGGGTTGCTTTCCTGGCACTGCTGTGAGGAGAGGCCTCGATGACCCGAGCTGCTCCCAACACGGGGGCCGCCCTCCCGCCCGACACAGACGCCTCGGCAGGGCGCACGCCCTGACCTCGCGACCCCCTGACGCCTCGCACGCCAGCGCGGGCGAGCCCCTGTGCTTTAGGTCTGAGCCGGCCGGGGCTGGATTCCCGGCTGAAATCTCCCGTTTTGTCATCCGGTGCTTTCAGGGCCACCTCTGGGGGCGCCCGGGGGGCTCAGTCGGTTAGGCTCAGGTCATGATGTCACCAGTTTGTGAGTTCGAGCCCTGCATCTTTGCGGAGCATACAGCCTGCTCCGGATCCTCTCTCTCTCTCTTCCTGCCCCTCCCCCTCCAAAATAAATAAACTTTAAAAGAATTAAAAAAAAAAAAAAAAAAGAACCACCTCTGATGCCAGGCAGCATTTATCCGTTTACCAATTCATTTAATCCTCTAAGTGCTGAGTTAGTTTCTGGGACCCTACAATCACCAGAAAAGTGCACTTACAAAAAAAGAAGAAAAGAAAACCACAGAATCCCAAACGGGAGTCGTGAGGACCCTTAACGGTAGCCCGCCACGGGCGCTGGAGCGAGATCTCCGCGGTGGCCACGGACCCCCTGCATTCAGGCCCAACCTCCAAACTCCCTACTTCAGGCTCCAGGTGTGAGGGTCTCAGGGGTGGGGGTGACCCTGGGTCTGTTCTGTCTGAGCTGCCCCAGCTGCAGGCCGCCTGGTCCCTCGACCCGCCTCTCAGCCTGGGACGGACACCCCACCGGGCTGGACCATTGGCAAACCGGGGTGGGGTATCCAGCTCCCCCAACACCGGTTCCCGGGCTTGACCAGGAGGTCATGGGACAGTGGGGGCTGTGGCCGGCTCCCCTGCTGACATCTCAGATACGGTCCCCAAGACAGTTCGGCCTCCTGCAAGGAAGGAACTGTCTGAATGGCCTATATTTTCTTCCCCAGGAGAAGAAACGCCGTGGTACAGAAAGACCACCGGGCACCGAGGCCACCAAGGCTGGGGGCTGATTTAATCCCTCGGCAAGCCTTGACTGGAGGAGGAGAGGAATAAGGCAGCCTTGATCACACTGTGGTCAGCAAAAATAGTTTCCTGTTCGCTCACTGCCGGACAGCCTGAGCTTCGAGAATACGGTTCAAGTAACAGGACCAAACTCTGGCTGGCTCCAGTGTTCCAACGGGAACTGGAGCCTCGTGCAACTGAGGTCTGGGCTCGGTAGCTGGCCGCCGTGAGCGTCTGCAGGGATCCCGTCGGTTCTATGCGCAGCAGCCCCCATGGCCGTGAACTAAATATCCCGGGTCAACGTCCCCCAGCAGGAACCCCATGACGTCCAAGTCAGACAAGCCTGGGGAGGGTAGCCCTCTCCACCTGACATCAGAGCCCCACTGGGGGCCACATCCTTGTGGGTCAGCTCACTGCTCTGACTTGAAGGGGGCCAGAGAGCTCTACCCAGATCCCAAATGTTCGGTCTCCTGCTCCTGATACTATGCTCAAGGACAGGAAACCAATGGCAGATCCTTGGGGGCCCGACCCTCACATTCTGTCCGTCCACGTCTACACACATCCGAGGACCCGATCCTCGCTTTCTGTCTATTCACGTCCACACAAGTCCGAGGATGTGCAAATCAAGGTTGTTTTCAAAGAGCCAAGCCACTGCTGAAAATTCATCTTTATTTCCAGCACCGACCCCACACCTTGGTGCCAAAATCTTTGTAGAGGACGTTACACGTTTAGAGGCAGGGTTTGGTAAAATCTCATTGTCAAGTGTTTTCGCATGGAACCTGTTATCAAAAGGCGTTAAAACCTAAACGAAAAAGCAGCAAGTTCTTACCTTTAGAAACTCAAGGAAAGCAGGTTTCGTGGCACACGTTTTCTTGAGGATTGCCACGGCTGTGCTGAAATTATTCACATACTCACTGTAGGCGTCCAGCACCATGGATTTGGAAAACTGAAAGACCAGAGAACACTGGGAAGCATCAATGATGCACAGAGCCCAGACCCTCCCCCTTCCAGGACGGGATAAAAGGTTTGAAACCTGCCCTAAAAGCCACCTCTCGGGCACCACGATGTCTGCGCAGGACACACTTCATTATGCCTGGGTGTGATTCCTTTTCCGTCTTTAAACAAACTCGTCAGGAACTGTTTGGACAGCTGATCTTACTCTGCTCCCCCTGGTGCCCGTGCAGGCAACCCGGTTCACATCCCCGGCGGGCTGGCTCTCAGGGAATAAGAGTTCCTGACTACGGGCGTGTGGACATGATCATTTCCGACACCCTTCTGTAAGCTGTGGCCGATCCTCACTGCGGATTTCCCCTGCGGGAAAGACTGGCACACAGGCCCCAATGTCCCAACGAGCCGGCACTGACTGTCCCCTGGAAACGCTCCGGGGCAAGAAGAAAATCAATCCCCTCCAGCCCTTGTGGCTGAGGTCAGTGTCCTATCCATCCGTCTGTCCGCCTACTGTCCTGTTTTCCTAGAAACACCAGGAGGCACAACCACCACCCTCCCGCTGGTATTCTTCTAAGATCCGGCAAGTTCTCAGGATAAACAGGAATATCCATAGCGGGTATCTGGTGTGACCATCGCTTACGGCAAAATGCTTTCACCTAAATTTTATATATAAGTATCTATTTTTTTTTATTTTTTTCCTTTTAAAAAAAAGCTTCCAAGGTAAATAAATATTTTAAGAAGAGGAATAGAGTAAATGTTTATGCTAAACCCAGAAAATAGCCAGAAAATGCAAGAACAAAGTAAATATCCACGGTTGCTTTGTTTTGTTTTTCGTAAAGGTCCCCGAAAGGGATCCTACAAATATCTCAGGAAGAGCTCGTTTCTGTGTTCAAGGCATCCTGTAACTTATATACGTCATTAAGGACACACAGTCGTACAGAAAAAAGGAAAAGGTTTCTTCATCGTTACTACAGGGTTCACGTAGCGTTCGAGCACTTGAACCTCCAGCTTTGATGGCATTCTTGTCTTCACGCAGCTAGGGAAGCCGTTCTCCTGAGCTACAACCTCCTGCATCCAGAGAGACCGCTCCCTCACGCACGACACACGGTCACAAACGACCAAAGATAAAACCTCTGGGTGAGACCAGAGGCTGGGCTTCCCGGGCAGCGCACGGCTCCCCCTGCCAGGAAAGGCTCATCCTGTGTCAGCGGCCGCCCGGCCACCGCATCCGCACCCCACACCCGGGTCACAGAGGACAAGCTTCAGGGCAGCGGGTCGGTATTTTCCCACAGGGCGTTTTCCGCCGCGCCCTGACAGGGACAGGGCTCAGGGCGAGACCCACCTGACGAGGGCATGAGCGGGACAAGGCGACAACCCTGTCAACAGAGCCGTGGCGTTGGCCACAGTCCACAGAAAGCACGCTCAAATCTCCTGCTGGTGCACAGTCCGCCCAGACCTCCCCCGGTCCGCCCTTGGCCTTCGTGACCCTTCCCACTCCTGTGTGCTGGGCAGAGCGCCCTGTCCTCACGGTGGCCTCGAGGGGCCCTGCAGGGCACCAGGGCTCCCCGCCGACACCGACGCACTGTCGCAGCCACGTTCACTGGGACGGGACGCGGCTCCGGAGCCCAGGACAGCATGGGGCGGCTGGGCCGCCGAGAATTACCGAAGCCACGAAGACGTCCCCGATGGTCTCCACGGAGTCCCACTCGGCCACGCGGCTGGCCAGCGCGATCTGGAACATGCCGTGGCACTGCAGCAGCTCTTTGACCCGGTAGAACACCGTCTTCAGCTTCCTCTCACTCAGGATCTTCGGTTCCATCTCCGACAGTGGCTTCTCGTAGCGCTAAGAAACACATGGGGAGGCGGCGTGCGCCACACACGGGGGGAAAGCCACTCACGACAGCGTTCACCACAAATCGCCGGACTTCACGTCAACATGCAGACACGGCACTTAGGGTCTTCTGAGGGTTCTGCAAGTTTGATTATGTCATGGCTCATACACACGCACACACACACGTGCAAGAAAGGTGAGTAAAACCTGCGTGTACTGTGTGACACGGTGTTTCAGTACCTCCAGAATCCTCTTGAGAGCATCCACGTAGTTTTTCTCACTGTCCACAACTGAACCCAGGATGTATCTTCTTACCACCTGTTGGCAATTTGAAAATACGATGGTAACAGAGAAAGTTTACTTCTTGTTGATTAAAGGAATTGCTTGTTCTGTTTTCTGTCTTCAGAATAGTAGGTAAATGAAACCTTCAAAGGCCTCTGAAATACTTTAAATTGTGCAGTAACTAACGTCACAGGCACGAAACATACTTGCTCCATGGCTATGATTTTGAAATGTTTTAATTTTTTAATTAAAAAAAAATTTTTTAACCTTTATTCATTTTAGAGAGAGACACACACACACACACACAGCATGAGCGGGGGAGGGGCAGAGAGAGAGGGAGACACAGAATCCGAAGCAGGCTCCAGGCTCCGAGCTGTCGGCACAGAGCCCGACGCGGGGCTCGAATCCACAACCATGAGATCATGACCCGAGCCGAAGTCGGATGCTTAACCGACTCAGCCCCCCCCAGGTGCCCCCAATTATGAAATATTTTAAACCGCAAATTATAAACCGTAAGTACAGCAAGACAAGTGAAATTAGAGTGGTAACAACAAATGCATTCACTTATGCAACAATTATAAGCTAAGTTAATTGTACTTGACGTGTCCTACGCTGACTTACGTGACACTTCACGTATAAATTGAGTATAAGAAAGCAGTTCTAGTCTTGACTCAAAGAATGCTATTAGCAACATTTATCTCATAAAATTATTATTCCGAAGTCGGAGAAGAAGAAGAAGCTTTTGAAAGATAGAAGAATAGATTTTTCTTTTTGGCCAAGAGCTTCTGACCAAAGACGCACCCACGAGGCGGAGTGCACAGTGGGTGAAGTAACAACCCTCCACAGTCTGGGACGAGCCACTTCAGACAAGGACGTCACTGTTGTCGCTATGCAGGTACACGCACGGACAAACGTCTGGCCGCACGATTCCTGGTAGCGGCCAACGTTGATTCCTGGCCCTTGCATCAAGCCCACACGTATTCTGGCAAGTTATTTTCTCCAATAAACGGAAAAGAGAGCACCAAATTTCAGGAAGGCTGCCTCTCGGCCACACACACCCGGAACAGCAAGGGGGAACCACCAGCAGGGAGTCAACACTCACCGCAGGAACCACACCGCCACCCAGTGGGTGGACATGGCACCCGCCACGGGGGAAAGCCCTCAGTCCAGAACATTCCAGGGCCACCAAGTCTTCCAAAACATGACTGACGCGGGAGCAATTCTCTGCTCCACAAGAAGGACCGTTCAATTCACAAAATTAAGACGCAGATCAGTGCTTCCGGAACACGTAGAGAACAGAGTGATTACTTCAAGAGCCCAGATGTGTCTGGGATTAAAGCCAGCTCCCACGAGGGCGCCCACCCGCCCAGCCTGGTCGCCCAAATTTCAGATTCCCACACACTTCAAGTCTCCCGAGGCAGAACATTCAGGGTCAAACCCAGGAATTAGAGACATTTTTAAAAGTCCTAGAGGATCCTAATGTGTCAGTTCAAAGAATCGGGAGTCGGGCATAAACTTGGAAATACAAAAATAGAATAAAAAATTCCAACAGGTTTTGTGGCTCCTACAGGTTGGGTTGGCCCTTCTAGGAAGTTAAATCTAACGAAGTGAACAGTGTGCCCCACGTGGACACGGGTGGTGAGGCTCCAGGGTCGTCGGGCTCGTCCTGAGGGCCCAGCACCGTGGCTGCGGACGGGGGAGATCCAGGCCCAAGTGGGCGTCTTCACCACGGCCAGGTGGACAGATCAGGAGGAGCGCTGGCCAGGAGGGCGGACAGCACGAGGGCCCAGCTGCTGGGCCCAGGAGACACTCAGTGGGGGGGGGGGGGGGGGGCCCCCCCCCCCCCCCCCGCCCGGCCCCCCCCCCCCCCCCCCAGAGCCCCGTCCCCAGGCAGGGCCCCCAGCCCGCGGCATCGATGGCACTTTTCGAGAAACAGCAAGCAACCCATGAAATAAGAGAATTTCTTGTGTTTTTCTTCCCAAACAGGGCGTGAAGAGAACGCTGGATACGTAACATTTTAGTTACGTTACCTCGTTTCGATCTGGGGAGAAAACGATGTGATAAAGAACACGAGCGCCCCAGTCTGACGTCTCTCGGGACAAGTCCCACGGAGAGCACGCCCGGTCGCCAGAGGGGAAGGGGAGGGGTCTCCGTGAACCACGACCACAGGGAAACCTGGGGGGACACAGAGATCCTGAAGACAAACCCTTCTGTAGCCCCCGTCCTGGTGGCCTGTCCCCGGGTGCTGACCTCACCATGCCCGCGTGCACCGTGCCCACGTCTGTGTCACTGTCCCAGGAAGAAACGCGCACAGACACGGCATCCCTGTCTCAGAGAGGAGAACGGGCCCGGGTGGAGAGGGGCGAACCTCACAGGACTGCCCAGCGAATCCCAGTGCAGGGGCTGGGGCCAGGCCCACGGGACACCGTCCTGGAGGCCCTTCCTCAGCACAGACCCCCCGTGGCCAGCACGCAGCCTCTACGAGCACCCGAAACAGACTGGCGGGAGCGTGCATCTAAGACCCTCCCGGCTCAAAACACCTTTCCACTCCTGTCTCCTGACAGACGCTCGCAACACCCAGCCTCCACCACCGAGTCCCGGCCTGGACAGTGACGCCCTGTGGCCACTTCCCCCCCCCCCCCCCCCCCCCCCCCGTCCTCTGCACAGCCGTCCCCCTGTTCCGTCACAATGTCCCATGCGTGACTGCCACCTTGCCTGGGAGTGCTCTGCGTCACACGTCCCCGACACCACAGCCTCGGACAGGAGGGTCCAAGGCCCAGTCGCCCCACGGCCCCCCAGGACTAGAGAGCACAGGAGCGGGGCAGGAGGCACCCGGGCACAGAGACCCCAGAGGAGCGTCAAGGCTGTTTTCCAACCATCAAGTCCCTTTCTCACACTTCTCTAGGTCTCATGAGGCTGGAGAACGGGGAGGGGGCACGGGCACACGGGGCTACAGCAGAAAGGGCCCGGCCACACCCCACGGGGTCACGGCCACATCCCTCCGGGAGCACCACACAGCAGAGGATTTACGGCTAATCTAACTGACTTAGATTGGAGGATTTTAGGTTTGGGGATCGGAGATGTGGCTGGAACGTCAGGCCCTTCCCGCCCATGGCAGGTGCCGCCCCGGCCTCCTCGGAGCCACGGTGTCCTCCCACAGGACGCGTGCACTCACGGAGGGACGTGCGAGGCTTTCCTGACATCCGGAGCGCTCGTGGGGGTGCTGCGGGGAGCAGACGCAGTGGTGGCTACAGGGCGTCTCTGTCACCTGGCCGAGCGCTCTTTCGCTCCCGACATGCTCACAGGCCAACCCCTCGCCCCCGACACATTTCCTCATCACCGCAGCCCCCGCTGCTTGGCTCCCCCTTCACCTCGAAGCTCGAAGTTTCCCAGTCCGGCCGGACGATGATGAACAGCCCCGGGCCTCCTCCCAGCTCGGCTCCCATTCCCCAGACTCTAACCTTACCACCCGCACCGGCCGCGCAGGCCCCTCCGTCCCGGCCTCCGCTCTGCCCCCCGTACGTGTCCACCTGCCCGCGCCCACAACGTGAGTCACACTGCGCACGCACGCAGCGCCCCCCAAGAGCCCCTGCCCCACTCCCCAGTGTCCTGAGGCTCGTTTCCTTTCACCCAAAGATAACCGAGAGGACACCACCAAATTTCTCTTCCCTCTGCTGCCTACTTCCAGACATCGAGAGACTCCTTTATGCGCAATAGTAACGGTATCAGTTGTTGGAAATCCGTGTTTTCATCTCTGTCAGAGGCACAGTTGACACAAACGCACGCGGCGTCTCTGTCAGTAAGAACGGGCGTAGATGGCGCCCGCACAGAGGGCAGCTCCACACCCTTCTCACGCTTACTCTGGGGTGGGGACTCGAAGTGCTCGAGGACCACAGAGCCCGCGTCCAGGCCACAGCCGCCGACCGGGACCTCCGAGACCCACTGCTGTGCCCGAGGACGCGGAGGGGCCGGGAGCGCGCAGGGGGCAGTCACCGGCCGCGCACGCGTTCGGGCACGTCTCCAGCCAGCACGGCCGTGCCGGCCAACAGCCCCGGCCTACCTGCTGCTGAGACAGACCCTCGGGCATCGGCGTCAGGATGGCCTCCGGGTGCCTGCAGTCCACGTCGATAAACAGATTCTGCTCCTCTTCGAGACAAGATCTGTGATCTGAAAAAAGGAGGCACTCGTTTGACACTGAGACGGCACGCCCGTAACACTGCAGCGCGGTGAAACAGGCCGTCGAACCGATGCGTCGGGCAGACACCTCCGTTTCCTGTGTTCTCTTCCCGCCTGGCAACGACTAGGTCAAAACTTTAACAAACCCAAGACGATATGCTCTCCACCAGAGGAACACCGTGTCCGTCAAAGTTTGAAAATTCCAATACCTTGGAAGTTTCATTTCAAAAGGCAGAGGGGCGTCATTTGAGTACCCAGTCGGTGAAGCCGAAATAAATACCTCAATTTCCTCGCCTATAAAATACGACACCCAGAGTCAGAGAAGGGTAGGTGAAAACAGCTAAGAACCCACAGTCAGTAATCGACGAAAGCTAAGTGGAGACTCCGTGTATTTCTTGACCATCCGTGTGTCTTTCTCACTGGAAAAACACAGCTTCCGCCAGATCAAAACATTTAGACCAAATCTAAATTTATTTTTAAAAACTCAGCCGTAGCTAAATAAACGAAAGAATCTGGGGCGCCTGGGTGGTTCAGTCGGTTGGGCCTCTGACTTCAGCTCAGGTCATGATCTCACAGCTTGGGAGTTCGAGCCCCAAGTCGGGCCTGCTTTGGATTTTGTGTTTCCCTCTCTTCTGCCCCTCCCCCCCACTCACCATCTGTCTCTCTCAAAAATAAATAAGCATTTAAAAAATTTAAAAAAATACATTAAGAAAAAAGAAAAGAATCCACAAAACGGCTGGAAAACAGAAAAGCAAAGGAATTCTTAGGTAATAGGACCCCAGGGATTATCGAATTTAAATATCCCAAACGCTGGCTGCATAGAAAAATTCCTGAGGAGCTTTGAAAAACCCCCCAGTATCCGCACACCTATGAGGATGGCCAAAATCCAGAGCACCGACCATGCCAAGTGCACCAAGTGCTAGAGAAAACGTGGAGCAGCAGGGACTCGCGGCTGGTGGTCGGGCACACTGTGCGGCTAGTGTGGTGGTTTCTCTCAAAATGAAACCTGCTCTTTCCCCACAATCCAGCGACGACACTCCTCGACATTTACAAGGAGTTGAGAGCCCGCGTCCACGTGTAAGCTGTGACGGACGTTTACGGCACTCTGTTCCCACCTGCCCAACCTTGGAGGCAACCACAGCGCCCTCCAGTAGGTGACGGATAACTGAACCGGTGCGTCCAGACGGCGCAAGATCATTCAGCGCTAAGAAGAAACGAGCCCTCAAGCCACGAACAGACATGGAGGTCGGTTCTCAAACACGTTACTAAGTGAAAGAAACCAGTCTGAAGAGTCTACACCATGGATGATTCCAACTCTGACCTTCTGGGGAAGGCAAAACCATGGACACAGCAAGGCGAGAGGCCGCCAGGGCTGGGAGGTATGAACGGTGGGGTCCAGGGGGGTTGACGGCAGTGAAGCTCTTCTGTGTGACGATGGATCCCCGTGGTTGTACTTTTGTCCCGACCCACAGAATGGGCCACATCAAGACGTGCACTGCGGACCCTGGGTGGTAACAATGTGCCCGGGCGGGTGCGTCAGCTGTCTGTGTGACAACGTGACAGCGGGGGCAGGGGCGGATGTCCCGCTCAGTTTTGTTGTGAATCTAAAATCTATCTTAAATAATAAAGTCTTACAAAGAAATAGGAACAGAACCTTCTGGTGTCCAGACCCCTCCCTCGAGTGTCGCTGACTGGTCCCGGGGTGCTGGGCCCGGGCAAGTGCGTGCACATCCAGGCTGAGGAACCGCGAATTCAGCGTTATCTTCCCATGTCACAGCTGAGGACACGAAGGTCGTTGGGCTCAGGGACGTGCCTGACGACCTGCTGTGCCCCCGGGGACCCCCGTGGGCCTCCTCCCTGCCTAGCTTGGGGCTTCAGGCCCACCCTGCGTGCTGGGTCACTGGCCTGCAGATCCTAGTTCAAGGCCTGGGGTGGGCCAGAGTCGGCGTTTCTGCCCAGCGTCTGGCATCCAGGGCCCCAAATCCCAGGCTCAGCCCCTCTCAGACCCTGCTTCTGCTCTCCAGGGGCAGGTGCACGGCCCCCCCCACCGTGAAGGTGTTCCTCCTCGGGGTGCCCAGCATACTGCCAGCACCTCATCGGGGCCGTCCCCTTCCCAAGTAACCCACTGGGGCTCCGGACAACCTTTCCTCTGTCTTGTTTCAAGGTGAAGCTGTTGTTAGCACTAAAATGTATTAAAAAAATCTAGTTCTGACTCCAATGACTTCCCCTTCCAGAAGTGTGGCCTCACCGTCCTTTCCAGGCACCGGGATTAGCAAATGCTACACTCACAGCGGCACTGCGTTTGCCTCTTAGAACATCTGTGCAAACAACAAAGTCCCGTTTTCACAAGAACCGGTCAGACGCCCCCTGGGAGCGTGTGCTCTCGTCCACACTACACGTACTAGCTAGGCTGTAAGGACACGCCAGTGCGTAGACATTTTCTCCGACGTCCGAGAATCCTTGGCCCACAGCTGGGCGTCAGCAGGAATACAGCAGACACGGCCCATCTTCCTGACAGACAGATGGACAGCACAGGCTACACCCCCCCCTTGGTGAGAGTCTCAGAAAACCTGAAATTTCTGGAATCATCTCAGAGCTTCCCACACCAGCAAGAGCGTTCCTAACATCTCTGCTTAGAGTGAGACCTTCTTATAGCTTCGTCCTGGTGGGAAGCACACGTCTGTATGAGGATACACCGCACGCGAGATCACCCGTTACCACGCCTTACTGAGAACAGATTTGCTGAGAATCATGCCTGACTGAAGTCCCAGGGTACCCGAGGGGGTTTCAGGAGACACATCAGAGAGTGAAGCCCCCCGGGGCAGTCGGGGGGGAGTGGGTTTCACTAAGGGCCCACGACGTGCTGGGAGGAAACAATAGACAGAGAAGTGATGTCTGCTACCTACGTGAATTCTCTTAACTTTCCGCTGCTTGTCGTGTGTGTGTGTGTGTGTGTGTGTGTGTGTGTGTGTGTCCCCGAGCTACTGCACAGGTCCGTGCAGGCCCTCAGCGGAGCGTGTGCACCCTTGCCCCCATTTGGGAGCTGACACCTAGGCGGCCCGCTGAGTCAAACACCAGCTGAGTCAAACACCACTGTGCTGAGGTTGTGTGTGACGTGCCCGTGGCCGCGCTCCCCACCCCAAAGTGCTGTGTCGGGGGGACCACAGGCTTGGAGCACCTGTCTGCAGGCCGGGCCACTGACCTGGAGCCATGAAGGACTTGGTCCTAATGAGAGAGCGGCCTCTCTTCACGGCAGCCTTGGTCTTCTCAAGCCCGTCTTTAGTGCCCTCCTTCGCAGCCTTCATCAGTTTCTGCATCTGTAAAAAAAAGGGAGAACCGTGAGAAGCGGACCGTCGGTAAAAATCCACTAGCTGCTTTTATTTTGTTTTCAAAGAATACTGTCAAGTAGCTTGGTCTTAAGACGTCGCCTGAAACTGGCTTTTTGATGTGGGAGCACTTACTTGCTTGGTGTGTGTGTGTGTATGTAACTTGGGCCACATTTTGTTTGTTTAAAAGAAAAAAACGAGGACGAAAAGCAAACTTGAAAGCCAGCCCTTCTTTGACCTGGTTTCCTGCTGTGTGTAAACGGCAGCCTCCACTTTTCTTACGATCACTTACAAACACAGAGCTTGGCGCACATCAGAGGGAGCAAGTTAAACATACGCACGCGCACACACGCGCACACACACACACACACAGAGTCAGGCAGCCGGCCCCAGGTCACAAGGCAAACGCAGGAAACCAGGAAACACAGAGCCCCGGCTGCCTTCCTAAGCTCCCCGGGGGGCCAGGCCAGAGGCTCACGGGGGCCCCACCGCAGGTTAACAGACGAGGAGGCAGACGGGTGCGAGTCAGGAACACCACTCCGCACCGTCACGCCGTGTGGGGAACCTGGCTCACCCACCCCGGAGTCCTGTGGGCACTCCCGTGGGCCATCAGTACCAGAGCAGCATGGACCCGCTCTGGCACACCCCCTTACGCTAGAAAATTCTAAGGTCTGAGGTGTGGGCTATTGGGCTCCAAGCGATTAGAGAAAACCCAAATGGCCTCCTACAGACAAAGCAGGCTCCCGCCAAGGGGACGTCCACGCTGCCTGCTGCCCTGCTCCTCCTGCAGGCTCCCTCCGGCACGCTCATCTGTCTCTGCCTCCCTCCTCAGCCCGCCTTCCCTGCCAGCGTGCCTCAGGATCGGACCATCAGGGCCACCGCCGGCACCGTGCTGCCCGGTTACAGTGGGGGACGCGGCTGTCCACGCTGCACTGTGTCCCCGCGGGGCACACTGGTGTCAGACACGTACCGCGGCCCAGCTGTTTCTGTACGTCCTCTGTCTCCCGCCACCCAGCGGGTGACCCCGAACCACGTCCACACCGCCCAGCCGGGGCCCCGCCCCAGCCCCCACGGGCCACGGCCACTGCCGTCTCCCGGGAGACACAGCCACTCCGGGATTCTCTTGCGTCCCTTCCTCCCCATCCCGGGGACGTGCCCTCCACCACACTCGCCACCTCCCCGGCCACGCCTGTGGCCTCCGCCCTGCCCCACGCGCCCAGTGCTTGTCTGCCTGCAAGGCGTCTCGGCTTTGTCTCCTGACCCACACGGCCCTTTCAGACCCCTCCCTTTCTTACCCCACGCCAGACCCCTAAGCCTCGGCGTCAGCCTGACCCCCGTCAGGGCCCCCGTCCTCGAGCTGCGATAAAGACCCAGGTTCCGGGGAGCTGAGACGCCCGTCCAGGTCACACGGCAGCCAGGGAACAGCCGGGGCTCCTGACCCTCCCTAACGTCTGCTTCTCGCTGGGTGAAGGGTGTCCGCCTGGCCCGGCCCTCACCCACTCACCCCATCTTACTGCTCGCTGCCCCCCAACGCACACTGTTCGCCCTGCCACGCCCTACTATCTGCACTTGATTCCAGACTCCTCCATGGAGCTGGCCTCCTTCACGCTTCCCCCATGGCCAATGACTGAGCTCGGGGCTCCCCAGAAGACCCCATCAGGCCCCAGACGCTCCCGTGTGGGAACCAGCCAGAGGCTCCATGGAAAGAAGTGACTGCCAGCATTTTGCTCCCACTTTGGGGAGCCCGGGGCTCAAGAACACTCTGGAATTGAGCAGGCGACCATAACGGGAGACACTTATTTCTAAGTGAACGTCTGCTTGCAGGTAGACGCCGTTCAACACACATGAACCAACAACAGAACATCAGACGGACAGGTGTAACGGGAGTGACAATTACTCGACAGTGTCCTTGTAAAACACATCTCCGAGAACTGACTGCCACCACATTCAAACCTCGCGGTTCTCCGACCTCCGGTCCCGGGAGCCCTTCGTACCCGGAAAGATGCCAAGGGCCCCAACGAGGTCCGTTTCTCTGGCTTTCACTCATCTACCCTTACTGGATGAAGAATGGAGATTGACAAAAAATATCGGACTTTTACGAATATTCATTTAAAAATACTAATAAGCCCATTCCGTGTTATCTAAGTAACGCATTCATGAAAAATTACCGTGTTTTCCCAAACCACAACATAGGCGGTGCTGTTTTGCACGGCTGGCCATCTCTCGCGGCCGGGGCAGCACACACACAGTGGAGCCTCAGGGAAACTCCCGTCCGTGCGTACGAGGACGAGAGAGAGGAACGCAAACAGTGTCTCGGGATTTATCTGACCTCGGTGACATCTGGAAGCCCAGGACCACACGCTGAGAACAGGGCCAAACTTAGTTTCCTTGCGCTTCTGTTTAAAGTACGGTCTGTTTCTGAACGAGCATTTTCCACGCGGCTGGTCGAGAAGTGAGCCACACTACCTTCAGTTCATGTTTCTGCTTTACTTGCTGAATCTCTGTGGCTGCCACCGTGCTTGCCATCAAAGCTCTCATCGTTCTCTCATAGTGCTCCTTGAGACGGGTTAGGTCATGGGAAAGCTACAGCATAAAGAGACACAATCTTCTCACAAAAACGCTCCCTCTGGTACTTTGAGACGACCGTGCATGGCGAGGCCCGGGGGGCGGCGTCTGGGGAAGCCCACGCACCACGGGGAGCCCCCAGCTCTGGCCCACCGACTCCTGAGAGAGAAAAATGGGGCGGCTCCTCAGGAGCCAGACTGGAGACTTTTCTGTGCCAGCCCAGGACAAGAAAGTGAACGAAGGGCTGAGGGTTGTCATTCACATCCACGTGGACGACGTCACGAGGATCAGACGTGTAAATACAATACGTATAAAACTATTCCTTATGTCAGCACCAAGGCACAGGACACCGGGGTTCACGACTGTACTACAGGGCATCAGAATTTGGAAATGGGCGGCACCGATTTTTAAGTCTCCAAACTGACGTGCCTGGGCTGACGGGGAAGGGGCGAAATCTCGTAAGACGCCGTCCCCCGTGATCACGCACGCCTCAGACGTGGAAACCCAGCCCTCAAGGCTTCTCGAGACAGCGTCTCCCATGTCAACACAGGCAAAGACACTGTGCGCTGTGGGCAAATTCTGACCAGAGAACGGACCCTTCTTGAGTTGACCTCAACCACTTAGGGTGCTCGGTGGACCGTTCTAACACAAGACTTCAAGGAGACCGCTAGGTCCTTCCCCCCCTCCCCCCGCCCTCCCTCATGCTGGCGGTGCTCCCAGCGCCCCCAGGGTGTGGCCAAGCTGGGGCCAGGGCGGTGGGAAGACCCCGCCTGATTATCCCGCACCTTGAGCCACGGTGTGGCACTTCACCTGCTGCCCAGCGGCCTGGCACTTCAAGGGCCTGCCTGGTAACCCGGGTCCATTTGGATGGAGGGCAAGGAAAGAACGGTTTGTTCAGTGAGCGTGCGAGCGGCTCGTCAGCGGGCACCTGACACCCTACCCGCCCACGGAAGGACGCCGGCGTGGCCTCACCACTCTTCCCGGCACCTGTGCTCGACTCTCCAATCTCAAGCCCAGAGTGTCGGGTGCATAGAGTCAAGCATGAGCACAGGATTAAGTGTCCGCTGTGCCAATGCCACTGGCAGAGGGGGTCTAAGGGACGGCTGTAGGACGGGAGGTGCTCGGGCCACCTTCCCAAAGCGGGAGGCTCGTCCTGAGCGTCACAAAGCAAGCTCACGGGGTGTGGGAACTAGGCCCCTGTAACCACCCGCCAGCCAGAGGTTCGTGGGGGCTTCAGCCAAGAACCCGCGCGTCCACGTACTGGGGGCCCACGGCATCTACCCACGCTGTCATGGTGGCGAGGCAGCAACTACGGCCCGGCCTGCACCAACACAGAGTCACGCGGGCCAGGCTCCGTGCGCCTGTGGCCTGATGCTCGGCCTCACACAGAAACCACGTGACATCTGCAGACACGCGTGGGGATGTCGGTGCACAACAGCCCTTTCACTAGCAGCTGGAGCCCACGGCCAACAGCACGGGCACAGCCGCTCGACGCTGAAAACCAGAATCTCATTAAGATCATGGGCCTCAAAAAAAGCGCTTGTAGGTCCCATGTCTGACAACCACCCAATTCTAGAATTCACACTCCCGATCTGTGAAGTTCCTCCTCCGACCTTCACTTCCGGAGACCCCTCCCCGCCACACACACACCTTCCACTCAGGACAGAGAACGTGGGGCAGCTTAGGAACCCCGGCCCTCAACATCATTTTGTAACATATTCTATCTTTAGACCTTCCTTTTTGTGTAGAAAACGCGGAAGTTCAAAACGCCCCTTAAAGGGAAGCAGGCTTGTGCCGCGTCTCAGAGAGACCCGATTCGGTCCAGTGAGCACAGAAAGCATGCTGTCTACACAACACAAAGAACGAGGGGACAGTCACATAGGACCCCCTGAGTGATTTCATTTATAAGAAGATAACTTCCCATCCTGCTACGATTACACTTACAACGTGAAATAAAGGAGCCTCCCCTGCGGCCAGGGTCTCACACCCTCCCCACACCCGGTACCAACGTCTTTGAGGGCACTTCGGTATTACGGAACGAAAATTCTGCAGTCCGTGCCTGTGCTAACACGAGACGTGTGTCTCTCACGCAGGCTTAACACATACTTGCTTCCTGTGGTTGCTGCGCAGGAAGGACCTGGGGACCCCATTCTTGCACTCGGAGTCACTCTGCTCCTCGTAACTCTCAAATTCACTGGAGCTCCATCCGTATTCCAAAGAGCTGTTTCCACCTTCATCTCCATTCTCGACGTCGTCATAAATCATTTCATCTGAAGGCCAAAAGGCCAAAAGGAAATAAAAAGAACACAGAGTTCTCTAGTTATGTTTTACCGATCACCGAGAGCTGGGGTCTGGAAGCGTGTCGGAAACCCACAGGGGCAGCGTGGAGCCTCGGGGTCGGCTCCCTATACAGGTGGTGGGGAGCCCCTCCAAGGTGCGGGCAGAGACCTGCGGGGCCGACAGCGCTCCGGTGAACCCCCAGCCCCAGGTGCATCCCGAGGGCTGCTGGTTTAGAAGAATCCACCATGACAATACAAAAGAAGTTGCCGGCCATACAAAGATAAACCCACGGAATATGAACGAGTTATGCAAGTGGGTGACAGAGATGCTCAAATACGAACACACGTGAGGCTCACGGGAAACAGTTCTAAGTTTTGCCTTTGGGCGAAAAACCATCTCATAAATCTCATCTATTACTGTTTTTAAAATATTTTCATCACATGAGTCATGCAGAATTAGTGAAAAACACGTTTATGCCACCAAATACGATGACAGGGGCTCTTTACTTTAAAAATTCTGCAGGCTTTAATTCCCATCTTTTGTCTCACAATCTCTGTTCTGCAAAAGTGAATTCCCGGAGCAAAGCGGCCTTGCGGGCGCCCCCAGGGCAAGGCACACGTCTTACCAACTAGCCCACTTCCTTTCTGACACACGCAAAGGCCTCAGGTCCCAAGAAAGTAGTTCTGTGAGACTCCCTGACAATTACAGAACAATACTCAGTGGAAGTAGAAAACACACATGGAGTTTTGTGCGCTGGGACTTTCCGAGAACAAAAACATCATTCTACAAACTTCTGGAACATCAGTGTCTAAGTTCTCCTCCTTATTAAACACATGAGCATGAAGGGTTATTTCAGATGGAGTTTGCCAGCTATAAATGATGTGCTAAGAGTGATTTCTGCTTAAACTATCACTGAAGGAGAGTACCATGTGAGATAAAGACATTTCCACACCTGGGAATACATTTTTGTTTCTCAATTAAATATATTCTCTGGGCACCTGGGTGGTCTAGTCAGCTAAGTGTCCTACTTTTATTTGGCTCAGGTCATGATCTCCTGGTTCATGAGTTCAAACCCCACGCCAGGCTCTGTGCTGACAGCGTAGAGGCTGCTTGGGATTCCCTCTCCCCGTCTCTCTCTCTCTCTCTCTCTCTCTCTCTCTGCCCTTATCCTACTCATGCATGCACACACGTGCACACTCTTTCTCTTTCGAAATGAGCACTTAAAGAATTTATTCCATATGCTTCTTCAGTCGTTCTCTGTAATAAAACTTGCCCCTTAAAATTTTTTCAGTAATTAAACCTCGACTAATAGATTCTCTAGGGCCAAGAGCAAGCTTTGTAGGTATAGAGACATTTAGAGGCAAATGCTTGCTGTCACTGGAAATGAAAAGTAGATACAAGGTTGTCACTGAGGATCTCAGATTACTTGGCCTCGCATTCTCTCTCCACTGAATTCAGATTAATTCTGAATATGAAACAGAAATCCAAACTTCTGGTTAAAGGCTCTGAGAGTTAATGGCACCCGGGTAAGAACATGCAACTTTTGAAAACGAGCTCATTTTCCAGAAGCCACAGGGGCGTGGGTCAGTGTATCTGCCCTAGATGACCACCAACTGGGCAGCTGGGTCAACAGGACCACGTGGATTCCAGGGATGTGGCCAGACCCTGACTCAGCTGCCATGCAGGTCGGGGCCGAGAGCCATCCTGACGAAGGCAGGTTGCCATGGGAAGGACCTGGTGACTTCCATGGCCCGGTCGGCAGGAGGCCTGCAAATGCAGAAACGTGCCTGTGCACTGTCCCCTGGTGCGGCCCATGAATCCTGAAGCTGCCCGACTAGCACTCCCTCCTCCCTCCATGAACCCCTGTGGACATTGGGCTACTCTTTGTGCGGGAAACAAGTCCGGACACACAGCTGGGCGGGTGTCGCCCACACCTGCAGAGGGACGTCCAGCCTGTGGGGGCGGAGGCGAGCTGCAGGTACACCCGGGTCAACTGGGCGGCTGGTCCTGGCTCCGGGGAAGACGGCCAAGGGTCCTGCTCTACTGTGAGCCCTGCTCTCGGGCGGGCTGGATGGCTTGTCCATCTTGGGGAGGCAGGAGCGACCAACACCAGGCACCATGGACCACCTCTAACTCAGGGACATCTCCACTCAGCAGTCAGAACGTGGGAAAATAATGCTTCTCCAAGTTCTGGAAAAGGCAGTAGTATCTGGGCCTCACCCGCACACTGAAACTTTCAAGGACTCTGAAGAGCCTTGTTAAGGACAGATGACTGAGGCTTTGTGAATTACAATGCCCTCCTGAGCTCCCAGATGCACAGACTGGTGCTGAGACCAGACCGAAAAGCAAGCACAGCCCCAGGGCCTGTGTTTCTCCCACAAGGCCAGCGAAGGGAGAACTGGTCTCCGTGGCTGGATTTTACTTGGCAGCAACCTTGCTACCTGCCCCGGGCCAGGACGGACCTAAGAAGTGCCACTGCAGTGGCAGTGGCCACACAGTCCTGTGAGTGTGCTTAATGCCACTGAACTGTGCACTCTAAACTGGTTAAAATGCTCAATTTTATGCAGTGGGCACTTTGCCACAATAAAAAAAAAAAAAAAAAAAAAAAAACAGAAAAAAGTAACCCTGGATGGTCATCATCGTATCTCATAAGAAATTCTTCAGTATCCTGCCAGTATCATGACAGAACTTAACCCAAAACGACCATATTTTGCACAAAGCACACAGGCCTCCACTCTCCCTCAGACACCCCTGTCTCCCCAAGTTCACCAGCTGCACAGCCGAAGTCCTGAACAGCTGGAGGAACCTCAAAGACCTAGTGCCACCTACTTCACTAAAGAATATAGTTACTTATCAAATATCGAAATGCACCAAAAAGCATACAATAGCAGGCCTGTCTGTAGACCCCGCCCAAACCCTGCTTCAGTGCCCACTCCTGTAAAGGCAGCAGCACAAGGCAACATGCATACAGCCAGAGCTCTGGCCCCTCCGCCAGGCCAGCAAGAACCGTTCTTGGCCTGTGGCTGTCCACTTACCTCTGAGGTGTGGGTTTACCCGAAGGCCACATGCAGCCTACCTCTGTATGTCTTGCTTTTTGCTCAACATTGCCTTTGGCTGTATACACACACACACAAACACACCATTTATTCATTTTTAACTGCAATGTAATGGTCTGTTGTATAAATTCATTGCCATATGCTGATCCCTTCCCCGAGTGTGGGGCCACTATGTTCCCCTTCATCTTTGGCTCTTTACAAACGGTGCTGCAGATAAGCATCCCTGCACATGTCTCCCGGCTAGCGGGCATGAATTTCTCCAGGAAACACACCTGCAAGGGAACCACTGGTTTGTATCACCATTTACACGTTAGCTAACTCTTACTAAAGTGTTTCTCAAAACAACTGCAGCACCAAGATGCTTAATGAGACAAAGAGCAAAGGGCCACAGAGGGAGCCAGATCAACGTTCTGTGTTGGCAAAGGCCTACCTGGTAGCATAAATTACCCAAAAATAAAAATTTCAAGCTTGTTTTTACAGAAACCAGTCTTTAAGCCCCACTTTACTTGCAGCATGTATTTAAATAACTACCTAGGAGCACATTTATTGATGAGAACTTCCAGTTCTGTTTATAAAGGGACCCAAATGTCAAGTGTTTGTCTCCCTCAACGTAGGAATCTCAAGGGCAGGGGTGACTCTGTTAGCTGAAACTAAACCGGTGCTCGGTACGTAACAGCGTCCAAAAGCATTTTGGAATGAATAAACTACCATGTGCTTTTAACTCTTCATCAGTTAGTACGCTGGATGTGGATTATAAGAATGTATCCTTTTTAGGTCAAAAATGCTTCCTTCTATTATGAGTTTTTAACATTGAATGGCCACTGAATCTTGTCAAGTGCACTTTACGGAAATACCAAGATGAGCCTATGGTTTATGTCCAGAAGTCTGTTCCTGAGGAAAAGGTGGTAAAGGAACCTGCTCATGTTGAAGGGTCTGTCACCCCCTGAGACCAATCTGAAGGGTTCAGGTTGGCTTTTGCTGATTTGTTGGGATATTACCAGATTTGATTTCTTTACATTTTCATCAGGATGCTCAGCGTCACCCCTTTAAGCGAAGGGGGCTCTAAGTTTACACCAACACCCTAAGATGGGTTCCCTGCTCCTGGGTAGCTGGGGTCCGCTGGGACTACACACAGAGCCGAGGAACTCTGTTCCCTGACGGTTTAGCAAATCTCAGACGAGGACACTGGTCCTAGTGGGCTGCCGGGCAGATTAAACAGCTCATTCTAGATTGTGAATCGTTAGACATTAGCGTGTTCTACTTCAGGTGCAGTCCACGTTTCAACTAGTTGATATCAAGGTGTTTCTAGAATCCCTTCCTGGCGTTTGTCTCGACCACACTTTCTTGTTCCTGATCCATCCTTCACTTCCCTCTCCTCCCGACAATATCTTTCCTTCCGAACACTACCCGGGGCTTGTCTGTTTTTATATTATTTTTGGAGAACTGCTCTTGGGTTCTGTTGATACTTTGTTGTTTCTTTGTTTTCTGTTTTAACACTTTTGCTGTTATCATTTTCTGTCCTTCTACTTTTGCTGAGTTTGCTCCGCTCTTCTCTTACGTCACGGAGCAGAGGCTCGGCTCACTACTCCCCCACCGTCTTTTCTTAACAGGCGCCATCGTGACTGCAACTCTTCATGATTTTAAATCTTCCCCATAATATTTTATGCCATATTTTCATTATTATTCAAGTCATAATATTTCTACTTTCCATGCTGTTTTCACCATTGTCTGTGAGCTAAGTACTAGTATTATTTTTAACTTTCAAGTGTTTCTTCCTATTGATTTTTTCAACTTAGGGAATGAGGCCTAAATGCCAATTGTTAGGCATTTCTTAATATTTGCTTTGAGGAATGCTATATGGTTTTTATAAATATTCCATGTGTTTGAAAAGAAATTTCAATCTTTAGGTTAATCATATACTATATTCTTCCACAGTTTACTAATTTTGTATCCAGTATTCAAGACAGTGGAGGGAACGGTCTTAAAATCTCCCACTTTAATTATGTACTTAACTGTTGCTGATTATTTCCCAGTCATATTTTGCTTTCTGTATTTAGAGGCTGTCTTGTTAGGTACACACAAGTTTAGAACTGTTATAATTCTCTCTGGTGAAGGACTCTAAACCTAATGTTTTATGGCCTAAAATTCAATATGTTATAGTAATACTGGCTATATTTTGGTTGGAATGGGCCTTATATTTCTTTTTCCATCCATTTACCTATGAATGTTTTATATCCTTATATAGCTGTCACAAAAATATGTGGCTAGCTTTGCTACTTCATCCAGCCTGAGAATTTTTTTTTATGGGCCACTGGATTCAATTTATATTTACCATAAGTAGCAATATATTTGGACTAATTTTGCCATCTTTTTTCATACCATTTGCCATAGTTTCTTACTTTCCATTTTCTTGCTTTCTACCAGACTGAGGTTTTCGCTACTGGTTTGGGAGTTAAATAATCCATTTCTGTTCTTTTAGTGGTTACCCATAAGATGCAGACCTGACCTATCACAGCCAAAAACACACATCATTATCTACGCTCTTCCTGGAAAACACACAGACTTTAGATGTTCAGGGTCAGTCCACCCTCCAGCTGACAGTTACCACAGCCTGGGGCTTTGGTCCCACCCTGCAAATGAAACAACACTATTACTGCTATCTTGGTCAATACTCCTTTCGATTCATTCACAAAGTTATTATTTGCTCACGGTCGTGTCTGCTTCTCATTAGGTTCGGTAACTTTTTCCTTGAAATGCAACGTGACCGTTTTTAGAGTCTGAGTGGTAAATCTCCCCAATCTTTATCTAATTAATACTGCCTTTGCTTCCCTCTTTTTAAACACCTGTGTTTTGGTATGAGTGGACTGATTTGTGCCCAGCAGTTGTTAAGTGTATGTGCCTAGGTATGGATTCAGGCTTAACCCTGCTTTGAACTTGTATTTCTACAATCTGAGAACTTAGATCCTTCCTGAATTCTAGAAAAGTATTGGTACTTCCTTCTTCTACCTTCTCATTCGTATCATTTATCAAATATGTGCTAGTACTTAGCCTCCATATTTCTTACCTTTCCACTTATACACTCCACATCTTTAATTCCCTCTGCTTTACATGTATCAACTATCCTATTTACAGTTGTAACACAGGGGCGCCTGGGTGACTCGGTCGGTTAAGCATCCAACTTTGGCTCAAGTCATGACCTTTCTGAGATTGAGCCCCACATCGGGCTCTGTGCTGACAGCTCAGAGCCTGGAGCCGGCTTCCGACTCTGCGTCTCCCTCTCTCTCTGCCCCTCCCCTGCTCATGCTCTGTCTCTGTGTCTCAAAAATGAATAAATGTTAAAAAAAAATAAAATAAGGTTGTAATACAGCCACACACATCTATGTGCTCAAATATTCTACCCCATGGTATCAATGAGGCACTGTAAGACATAATAAAATCCGTAGGAGTTGTGTATCTAGGGTCTGTGCGCACAGTGACTAGTCATTTTTTACACCCAGCGGGAAAGACTGATAAACTGAACCTTCTAAAACTCAATTTCAGACAACTCAAACCTGGTTCAGAGTCTGAATTTTCTCTTGGCACGTCGTCATAAATGGCTTCTTCTGGATCTGGAATAAAAAGAAGAAAACTTTCAAAAGCGACCAACACCAAGTACAATGTCCACCGTTCAGGGCCACGGTCTCCCACGACGCTATAATGATGCAGAAAGCTAGTTCCAAAGGGCAGACACATGCACCTTCCCAAAGCAGAAGTTTTCTGGGGACTGAAGGATGACACTCTACGTGAGCCAGGTGTGAATGGGGAATTTTATGGTTTCTAGGCCAATTTAGTCCATTATTTTGTGTTCACCTGCACGTCTCTATGTGGCTCTTTATAAATATTTTTCAGCTTACGAAGTTAACGTGTTCCAATGTACAAACAATACAGAGGTGCCATACACGGTTTCAGAAACAACGGGACAGCCCAAGAGGTGCTATGTTAACAGGAAACCTAAAATAAGTCGATCATCTATGATATCTTGAACTACTGGATATGAAAACTGGGCACACGCAAGGATGAGAATGTTCACCTGTTAGGATAAAGTCTCTCCGACTACACTATGTGGAACGTTCGTGTCCTCTGAGACTGTAACACGTTTTCTTAAGAAAAGGTCGGGATCCTTCCAGGCCAGACTACTGAGTGAATACGGTATGAAAAGGTCGTGTAGGAGAGCAGCAGTGAAGCTAGAAATGCATTTCGGTATTTGTAAGTTTGGGCCTTCGTGGAAATCAACCACGTTATGAGGTCTTACTTACACACTGAAAACCGTGAAGGTCACCGCGACTAAGCCACAACAAGATGAGGTAAGTACTCCCAACTCTGCCTCTGCTCTCAAGCCAGTTACATTCTGGGGAGGGGGAAGGGGGAGGCAGCAAACTTGGGAAAGCCCCTCATTCTCCTCCTGCCGTCAGGCCCCCGTGTGACAGACACCCCCTTCCTTGTAATAAGATTAACTGCAACTGTGACATGCATTTCCACTCCCGACAATGTGTGGGATGCTCGACTACGCACCCGTGAAAACCACAGCCGTGAAGCCCACGAGTCCGCTTACGTGCAGATCTGGTTGTGACACCTGCACGAACCTGTTTGTGATACTTTGTTGTAAGAATGCGGTACGTGACACATACACACAATATCATCGACGGTGTATGTGATTGGTAAAGCTTCCAGTCACCAGCAGGCACCGGTAGGAGTCAAAAGTTATACCCAGATTTTTTACTGTGGGGGGTGTCAGCACCCCTAACCTGTGTGTTATCCTAATTAACTGCCACTTGTGCAATAAAACAAGTAACGGGAGAAAGTCACACAAATTTTACTCTGGAAATAAAATTGCTAGCGAGCAGGAGGAAAATAATTTCATCCCTTAATGATCCCCATTTAGCGGCCCCCTAGCAGAATCCTCTACTTATGCTAGGTTCTTTGTTTGACAATGTCATAATTAAAACCAGAACACGACACATTCCAGGAGATAACTGAACAATCAGGAGACAGTTAAGATGGTTCTTCCTTGTAAGTCCATCATAGAAAATTACACAGAAATTAGTGAGCCAGTAGATCATAAAGGGATAATTGGAAAAGCCATCTTTACTTTTTTTAAAAACTCATAAGTCAAATCTAGTTAAAAATAGCTCAGCTTTCCAAGCCACATGTGGAACAGAAGGTCTGGTATGCCATCTGGACAGTGGGCTAGCTTAACCAGCCATCCACCCCCTTTCCAAAATGGTAGCCTGTAAAAGCATCTCCGTGAGAATCACAAGAAAATGCCTGGTAACGTCTCCGTGGTAACTTGCTGAGTGTGGGCCCGTGTAAGAGCATCAGTTCCCCGAACACGGGACCATCGTGACAGGACCCAAGGACTGTACTGGGAAGAAGCAATCAGGAGAGAACCCGTGTGGGACGGGGGGAGCAGAGATGTTCTGACTGGAAACAACATAAGGGCTTCAGAGAGCCTGGGGACAGCAGCGACAGGCAGCTCTGGTTGGTCCTTCAGGGAAACGAATGCAGTTCTGAAGGGACGTGGGAATAATCAGCGGAACCCGGCAAACACACATCGAGCCCTGGGGCGGCGTCCACGCGGGGCCTGGCGAGGAGGAGGGCACGGCCCCGCCGGCTTCCCGGAGGTCAGTGTACTTACTCTCCATCCACGCGGTGTTGGCCGGGTCCGCCGCCCACCGGGCGAGGGCACTGTCCTCCTTAGGCGCTCGCTCGTCACTGGGAGAAAACAAACCAGGAGACCACTAGGGTGAGCGTGCTTCCGGTCAGGACGCTGCCGAATGTCCCCAAAGGGTTTGTGAGCTCCAACGTGTGCACGCTGTCCCCAGATGTTACTCCGGGCGTCCTGTGCTGAGAACGTCTTCTGAGTTGCTGCCCATGCATTTTACATATGACCCCGCCACTCACACCCACAACGCGGACGTGTATGGAAGGACCCATGCCTGCGGTCCCACCACACCTTCCCACTTGGCTTTTTCGGGGCCCCTTTTACAATAAACACTTAGACTTAAGCCCTTGAAAAGTCAGTGACCTCTGCCCTAACCATCTCATTAGGAACCAGTGCCTGACCTCGCTCTGTATCTACGGGGACAAGGGACGCCCTCCCCCGGCCCCCTGCACACACCCCATTTCTGGGATACACCTGGGGCCTTCCCTTCCCTTGTGCGTGGGGGCAGGTGTACTGAGGCCGTGCCTTCGATCCAAACGCCCCGGGGGCTTCACCCCCCAGTGGTCTCTGGGACGCTGAGGGGGCCACTGGCTGACACAGGCGGGGGCTTCCGCCCCCTCACCCAGCAGGTCAGAATCTACATGTGCTCGTTTTATCGGACCAGCCGCGGCTTCTCAACACAGACGCCAGGTTCAAGCTTTCGTTCCCAGCGGTTTGTACGTGCTTCCGAACGCCCGCCACGTGCCCGGCACAGGTGCTCGCACAACAGAAACAGGAGAAACGAGGTCTCTGCTCCAGGGGGCCTGAAGCATCTTCCAGTTGTTCACCAGAACTTCTTGCGGGCCTGTTGTGTGCCACACACGGTACCGGCTGCAGAGACACGCCCGAGTGACAGACGGGCCTTCTCGCCTCCGGGAAGGGACCTCACGCGGCCAGAAATAAAAAGTGCTCACGACTCAACTGGTGCTGTGCTCTAGTGCAGTGGTCCCGGGGGCCAAGTCACAGGTCACACACAAGGATAGGAATGCTGTCCCGCGGGCTACGGCAAGCCTCTGGAATGCTTTATTCAGAAGAACGACAAGGTCGGCTTCATTCAACACAGCTGGGACAAGACCAACCTCAAGGGCCCGTGGTCTAGGGGAGCTCTGCAAGGAAGAGCCGAGCGCGGTGTGGAGCACTTCACGGGAAGGGAAAGAGGCTGGAACTAGGGTGAGTGCTCAGAGACAACCATGGGCAGCTCGGAAAAACACACACGTGCAAAGGAGAATCATTCATACGGAGTTAATGCCGCACTTCACGGTAAGTGACAGATATGGCGGGGGTCACTGCAGCGTGGTCTCTTCTATCATCATTTTTGTTAGTTTTCTGAAAGTTCTAATGGTTGAATACAAGATTTAAAGGCCAGGGAAGATGGTAAAGGTCTTAAAAATGTCCAGGTCACAGACACTTCAGCTACGCAAGCATGTGCGACACAATACGCTACATTGTGGATGCGTGTAAGAAAAGAAGCTGAGTCCGTCCCCACACTTAGTTGAGGAACAGGTCACATAAAAAAAAAAAAAGTATTCTCACACTTTTCAAGTCTAAAATTACATCAAAATGAAGTTAAGCAAAAAAACAGAAAATCTAAAGCAAAAATGGATGATATTTAAACTGCTCCCGAGTGTTTCCGTAGGTTTAAAAAAGGTCGCTTTCTGTAGATTTAAAAAAGGTCGCTTTCTGTAGATTTAAAAAAGGTCGCGCTTTGGAAGAGAATCTGAGCTTGCCCTCTCACAACACTTCACGTTCTTTTTGTTCTAAGAAACGATCCTTTCAGCAGACGTGTTTTCCACCGTACATTTCAGATCACCGGCGATAGTGTGCCACCTGCTTGTGTCTCGTCTCACACACACTGTGATTCTACTGCGGGGTCTTGGTGGACCTGCTCTGCCACATGTAATGTAAACCAGGTGGAAAGAGCTTGCACATCCCTTTCTGCAAAGACACCAGTCTTTTAGGGACGCGTATGTCTTTCTGCGTTCAGAGGCCAGCCTACCACCCCAAAGAAAAAGCCAGGTGAGCGTGAGAACAGCAGGCCAAGGACCCGACACCCGAGTCAGGAGTCCGTTCTCGCTCTCCATCTCCTCTGCTGGTGCCTGCGCGGGCGAAAGGAAACACCGCAAGCTGCCATATGGGAGGGAGGGAAGTCCTCGCTGGTGTGCTGAGACCGGTTTACTTCCTCTCGGTCTCTGATACCGATCGCAGGCGAGGCACTCGGTAAAGGCTGGGCGAACTGAGACATAACAACTAAAAGTGGGTAAACAAACAGAGCCAGCACGCACCAAACACAGGACCAGGCAAGGTGGTAGATACTCTAACGCTGGGTAAAGCCTGATCCCACAAAATGGCCTTTAACTCATAAAAGGTCACAGAAGGCAAAGACGGAGATCATATATTGAATAAAGGTCCAACAGAACAAGAAGATATAACCATTACAAACATACAACTAACGAAAAAGCCCCAAAATAGATGAAGTGAAAATACATGGTACTGAACACAGAAATGGACCATCTCACAGTGACAGCTGGACACGCCAATGTAGCACTGTCAACAGCAGAACCACCAGGCAGAAGACGCTAAGAGCGCCACAAATCAACTAGACCTAAGAGACATGGCAGAACGTGCCACCCACCCACCCTCACGAGTCAAACTACAAAACTCTTAGAAGAAAACAGTGAGAGAGCTTCATGACACTGGATGTGCCAACCACTGACTGGACAGGACACCGAAAGCACAGGCAATATAAAAGAAACAAAACACATAAACTGGATTTCATCAAAATTAAAAACTTTTGTGCAAAGGACACCATCGAGAGAGTGAAAGGACAACCCACAGCATGGGAAGAAATGTTCACAAATCACGCATCTGATGAGAGATTAATATTCAGACTATATAAAGAACACCTACAACTCAACAACAACAAATAAACCCAACTCAAACATGGGGAAGGAACGTGAATGACATTTCTCCGAAGAAGACATACAAATGGGCGATGGGACGTGATGAGGTGCTCAGCATCATTAGTCATCAAGGAAATGCAAATCAAAACCACCGGGAGGTACCATTTCACACTCCCTAGAATGACTACGATCTTTAAAAACTGGAAAATAAATTTGGTGACCGTATTGGAAGCAGTTCATTGCAGGTGGGAATGTGAAATGGCGCTGTCTCTGTGGTAAAGAGACTGTGGGTCCTCAAAAAGGGAAATATAGACTCACCATAAGATCCAGTGCTCCGCTCACAGGTACGGAGCCAAAGGGATAGGGAGCAAGGACTTAGATGCTCATACACCTGTGTTCCCAGCAGCGCGATTCACGACAGCGAAGAGGTGGAAACAAAGCAAGTGTCCTTCGAGTGGTGAGTGAGTGAAAAGGTCGTATGTGCTTACAAAGGAATATTATGCAGGCTTGAAAAGGAAGGAGATCCGGACGCATCCTACAACACGGGAGAACCTCGCAAACATGATGCAGAGTGAAACAAGCCAGACACAGAAGGACACGAGTTACCTAGATCGGGCCAATCCACGGAGACAGAACGCAGAGTTGAGGTTGTTGGGGGCTGGGGGAGGGGGGCGGTAGATTACCACAGGAGGGTTAGAGCTCCTATCTCAGATGATGAAATATTCTGAAAGGGGAGAGTGGTGACACAGTATATGCACGCGATGCCACTACATGTTACACTGAAAAGGGTTCAAATGGTAAGTTTTATGTTGTATATATTTTAACACAGTTTTAATATGGACAACGCAGGGTACCAAAAGCCACAGGACAGTCCACCTCGAACAGGTGTGGATAATGCGTCAGTATGGCTGCACGGCCGCCAAGCAACAAGCATGACGGCGTGCTAAGCCTTGGTCAAACCTGCTCTCCCCCTTCACAGGATTCTCAGTCCAGCAGCAGAAAGGGACAGGGGAAGTCACAGTGAGGGTGCACTGTTTTAATCAGTTTTAAAGCCGGTGTGCCCACACAGCTCTGGATGGACAAGAGGGAACTTTATAAAACGAGACACTAAGGCAGGGTTTTGAAATGCATGCAGGAGTTTGCCTGGAGGACGGGATTTTCCTGGGCATCTCAAGGAGGAGAAATAGTGTTTTTGAAGGCAAGTGGCATGAAAGAAAGGTCTACAATCAAATCAGTTTGAAGTACTCTCGCTAAAAGCTGGGTCAGACACACTGAAAAATCCCCTCCGGCCCCACAGGGTTCTGAGACCCTTCCCAAGGCTGAAGTACACACAGAATCTCCAGGGTGGAGGCCGAGGAGGGCCACCTCTCCGGGGCCTATCTGCATGTGCGTTTGTACGGTCTGTCCTTCTACACAGACAGTATGAACCTCTAGCCGAGTCCTCGTACTCTGACACCCATCCTGGGAGCCCCTGGGCGAGAGAGCAGACGGATGCAGGACTGGGAGCAGAGGGTCTGGGACGGGGAGCAGGCGTGCTCGGTCACCACCTCACAGCACTGAGGGCAGGCAGGACAGGTGTCCCACACTCCACATTACAGGGAACGGTCATGGACCCAGGGCACGTGTGTAAAATGAAAAAATTTACCTGTTTGCTGGATCCTCAGAACTTAAAGAATTAAATGGGCTGTCTTCTGCTACTTCCTGTGTCTCTGTGAGGAAAGAAAAAAAAATCATATGGCTTCATGCTTAGGGTAAAATTGTAGGAAACGGATTTTTACATTTACAATGGTTCCCTATTTTCCATTCTTATGAATGATAGGTTTATCTTAGCATAAAAATGATTAACTGATAGATTTAAGGTTTTTTAGGTTAGATTCAAAATAAGATGTTTTCAAAACAGGATTACAGTAAAAAGTGATATCCAAAGGCTCCTGAAACAGCTGGAATTAAACCCAAAGAAAGCAGGCTACAGTAAGAAACAAATTTTCTCCTGTGTCTTCACTTTTCATGAGAATTTACAATTGTGATTTTTTGGAAAGTATGTCTAAATGGGAGCCTCCAAAGATTCTCAAGGGAGAGTTACGTCCATGATATCTGGCAACCAAGTTCTTATATACTCACACGCACGTGCACACACGCACACACGCACGCACACACACAGTCTGTCACACATGTCCAGCTGACTGATGTTCTCCCACCTCTGGGTTTGATTTACCAAGGGGTGACGAGCTCAGGCTTAGCCACGTGCTCAACCAACAACTGGTTAATTGCTACACTGGGAAACTGTCCATAAACACCGTTTTAGAAGGAATTTACTGTGTGCTAGGCAAACGTTCGTGACCACTTTCAAAGTGCTCAGCAGTTAACTCAAGGTCCAGGAAGGCTGGGCTTAATGCAATAAGCTTGGAGATCTCACTCATAAAACTGGTCCCCTGATCCCGCTAAACAGTAACAAATACCCCTTACCCGGGGGTGGGATTTGCCTGGCGGTGCACCAGGAATTGTAGAGGCATGAACTCAACAAGTTCTCGAGGCCATGGAAAACCTCGCTGTCTGCCAAGGAGCACATGCCAGGTCAGAGGCAGGGCCACGATCTGAACTCAGACCTGCCCGTTCCAAAGACTTCCCACCACACCACACTCCCCCCAAAAATGGCCCACATGACTTCCTAAAAGACAAAGATACTCGACAAAGTCAACGAAGAAAGGATGTGGACTGGCAGCGAGCACACTTCACACAGTGACTACCTTCCCTGCGGCTGTGTCAGGGGCCCCTCTCACCACCCCTGAATGCACACCGCGCGTGCCTCAATGCACCCCCCCAACACCTTCCTTCCCGGCGCTCCCCCTTCTGAGAAAGCAGATGCACCCGGAGGTGATGTCTGCTAAAACGAGAACTCTGATGACGGTATGGTGAGCACGCTCGAGAGGAAGTTCTCCCGCTGGCCACACACACTGCTCATCTCTCACTGTTCTGGAAGGATCTGGAAGCCCGTGCCACGAGGCGGAGCACCATGAGTCTCTGGCCACTGGAGGACCACTAATGAATGAAAGTGGAGGCTCAGTGTTGGTTCTGGGCAGTGGGGAAGATGACGGGTTCCAGCTGTCCCCGACTCTGAGGCTCGTGTCCCAGGGGAGCCTCTATGCGAGTGAGGGAGCCTCAGCGAGGACGTGCATGCTGACCGAGCCCACAGAGCCAGGCCGCCCTGTGTCCACGAGGGAACCACACGGTGCAAATGGTTAGGTAGCCAGCCAGGGCACCACAGGACGTATGTGCACATGCGTGTGCTCATGCAAGAGTGGGGGAGGGGCAGAGAGAGAGAATCCCAGACAGGCTCTGCACTGTCAGCACCGAGCCTGACGTGGGGCTCGACCTCACAAGCTTCGAGAGCATGACCTAAGCCGACATCGAGAGTCGGATGCTCAACCGACTGAGCCCCCCGGGCGCCCCCCCTTCTCCTCTCAATTCCATAATCTACTTCCTTATTTTCACATTGTTCTTACTTGTCAGAGGCCACAAAACACAAATAGCACTGTTGACCACGGTTAATTTCCAAGATTCCAACCAATTACAAGAAAACATGTGAAAAACCTCAACCCTAAAAACCTGTGGTTTCCAAACAAATTCAAGAGCTTCTTTAACGAAGACTTTTTTTTTTTCCCCTCAATGGTCACAACTGGGAAGGAGAGAACGTGTTTACTGAAATCTCGCACAAGCTCTGATTCCGTGTCCGAGCGGCCTCGCGTCCCTGAGAGCCTCTACACCTAGGACAGCGCCCGTGCTGCGTCCTCGGATAGGGAGCACACGCAGATCTCAGCAAGAGAACAAACACTTGGCTGGGCTGCCTCACTGGCCACACTCGGAACGGAACAGGCCGCCCTCTGCTCAGGGAGGGCCGCACTCGAACGTCCCGCTGCCCTCATGCACGCGGACCCACAGGCACCTGCCGGGGGAAGGTGACCCGGGTCGGCTCCAGCGGCTCTACCGGAACACGGAGGACTGTGGGACTCACGGACGACAGGCGGTCACGGCCCACAGTGCGCAGTGAGGAGGAGGACACTACCTTCCTCTTCCAGGGATGCGGCGCGGATGACGACGGGGCTGGAGTAGGCCGGCACGAGCAGCGGGAGGTTGCAGGGCACAGCGTAGCCGCAGGGCACGGGCACCGAGTACCCGCTGGGCACCGGCGGGCTGGCGCTCTCCTCCTCGGCATCCGGGTCGGCGGGCGGGGGCTGCTCCTCCTGGAAGGGCGTGATGTCGATGACGGAGTAGGGGTTCACCCGTGTCGGGACCTCAAGCGTCGGGCCTTCCACCGGGGCCTCGGCGTCCATTCCCCTCCCGATTTCACCTCCTGGAGGCAAACACACAGTGTGGAGGAGGTGAGGACAAGTGGAGCCACGCCCCCCCCCCCAAAGGGCACGCAACACCAGGGCACCCAGGAGACGCCCAGATCTGGGAGTACAGGGCGGAGCATTGCTGGGGTCAGCGTGGGACACCCCGGGGCCTGGCTGCTCCCGGGGCGGCTTCTCTGCTGACAGGCATCAGGTAGAAGCTGCCGGACCAGGGGAGCCACTGACTGTGCGGGGAGCCCTCGCTGTGGACAAGAAACCAGCCCTTGTGGTCGAGACAAAAGCAGCCACCTCCAGGACCCAACACGGACTCCATGCATCTCAAAGAGCATTAGTTTCAGAAACGTTTCCCACCACGCAGCGACACGGTGCTGAGATGTGGCCGATACCCACCCCCTCCGAGAGGCCGCCAGGGGCCGCCGAGCAGCCTGACGCCCGTGGGAAATGCCAGGGACCAAAGGAGCGCGGCCAAACTCCAATGAGCCATCACAGCTCACGTCCCGCTCCAGGACACTGACTTCCCCCCACGTCACTCACCCGCGGTCGGGACGAGCTGGCTGCTGGGCCACGGGCGCTGGGGGCGGCCCGGGGACTCACCTGAGCCAGACGCGGCATCCGCGCCGCCCCCACCGGCCGGGGCGCCCGCGGCTGGCCGATCCGCTTCTGGAATCTCGTCTCCGCTGTCGAAATCGAACTGCTCCCCCTCGTCCTCTTCGTTGTTGTTCTTGTCGTATTTCACCTCGTTTTCTAACGGTGAAAAGAACACAGACTCAGCCGCCGCAGGAGCAGAGACGCGCTAGCATTCAGTGCCAGGGACTGCGCAGGTGGCGGAAGCGACGGGCAGAGGATGAGGGAAAGGAAGCGCCAGGAAACGAGGGAGGCCACAGACTTCAACACTAGTGGATTCCGCTCAAGCCCCACGGGGCCCCAGGCCCCTTCGGTTCTGTCCACGCCAATCACCCACAACGTACATGCCACCCAAGGAAGGGGACCTCGCAACCCCTGCCCAGGCCAGGCCCACCCTGCGGTCCCCGTCCTGCACGCGTCCCCGCGTGTGGATGTGTACGGGGCAGGATGGAGGCCACTCAGACCCACAGATGCCGTCCACCATCCCGTGAGAGGCCACAGCACCCTGGTGACCACGCCCAGGCGAGGGGGCTGGGGCAGGGGACAGCCCAGTGGGGAGGGAGCTTCTGCTGCTCCACGGCACCCCAACACCGGGGCCGGAAGTCAGAACACAGAAAACTCCCAAACCTGACGGCCTTCTCCATTGGTGCACAACTCACTCCTCTGTACCCAGACGGTCTGCGGGCATCTGGTGCTCACACAGATCACGGGAAGTTGGTCATGGGGACCCGTCTCCCAGGACGAGGACCCTGCACACCCACACGGGGACCCTCTCCCAGGATGGGGACCCTGCACCCTTGGGGTGTCCAGGGCGGTTTTCTTGCGAAGGAACGAGTAGGTGGGCACTGTGGAGAGGGAGAAATGACCCCCAAGATGGAACCCACACCGCTCACTCTGCAAGCAAACCGGGGTGCTGCAGGGTGGGCCAGGGCATCAGGCGTCCCCACGGAGAGAGAGCTCCGGTCCCACTGGGCTGCAGAGGGATCTGCTGAGAGAGGCGCCCAGGGCCCGGAGCGGGTTCCCTCCTCCCTTCCAGAGGGTTCCACCCAGCGGTCACACAGGCCTGAGTGTGGGAATGTGGGATCTGAACCAGTCATCTTAGAGCCAAAGACGCGTGAACACGGGCTGGGAAGCCGGCCACGGGGCGGTGGGGTGACAGAGCCAGCACCCCTGAGCCAGAGCCAGGTGGGTTCTGGGGATGGTGGGGACGGGGGGTGCAGAGAGGCTGGGGAGGAGTCACCTCCCCTGGGTCGGGGTGGGGGTGGGTGGGGCCGGGCCCCGGCCGGCCCCAGCAGGAGGGGGGGCGGGGAGAGGGCCTCGTCCCCTCCAGTTCCACTCCCAGCGCCTCTCGCTCCTGGTGCAGGGCCCCGGTCAGCATCGCCCCAGCAGACGCAGATGCTGTGCAGGGGGCGACGTGTGCTCTCCAGGAAGGAAATGTTCCACAGCCACCTGGCAGCTGGGGGGCGGGGCCGGGGTGGGGGGGCGTGGAGCCGGGGGAGGGGGGAGGGGGGGCGGGGGGGTAGGAGGTGAGACTCAGGCTTTCAGAGGTGGCCTGGTTTCTAGGGAGAGAAGGTGACAGAGCTGGGGCTACCTGAGCCAGTCTAGGACGGTCTTTCCAGCTGTCGCCTTGTGGGTCCAGATGAACCTTCGATGGTCCAGAAACAACGGTCTTAAATACCAGGTGCTCATTTTTCCCTTCGGTCTTTGGAACCGGCAACACGTCCTAACAGGTGTTTTGAAGGAAACACCTTACCACAGAGGTCAGGTGGACAGGCTCTGTCGGGGCAGGAGGGAGGGGCCCCTCAGCGAGGACCTAGGGGGAACGAGACTGCCGGGTCCACAAGCAGCATTCTAGGGCAGTTTCTCCCCAGTTGACACGTGCTAAAAGCATGATGGGGCAAATACCGAAATGGAATCCAGAAAAGGCTTCAGAAAACTGTTCTGGTGAGAGTATGCATTGGCGACTTTGTGGAAGAGAACTCGCCAACACGTACCAATGCGGGACAATTCTGTACATCCCTTGTTGCAGAAATCCTACTGCGAAACACTTATCTTAAGGAAATAATCAGAGACCGTCACGATGCTCACCTGAATGTCCTTTAGTAGGAAAGAGACTTTACATATTACCCGTTTATACAGCCAGACACTCACGAAGCCATTAAAGTTATCTGGTCGAAGCTTATTCAGAGAATTTGGAAAGAGGTCTTGACGTATTAAGTTAATAGCCTTTCTAATCGGTCTTTCCACACCCATTTAACAGAAAACAACACACACTGATGAGGGTCTGGAGAAACTGGACCGCCTTGCAGCGTTGGCAGGACCAGAAAACAGAGCGGCCGCCGTGGCAACCGTAAGGAGGCCCCTCACGAAGGAAGCACAGAACCAGAACCACCGAACGACCCCAGGATCCTGCTTCCGAGCCTCACCTGGAGGAGTTAAAGCAGGCACACAGATCCCAGCGCGCCCATACAGGTGTGCAACCACACGAGTGTGCCACTGTGTGAGCGTGCAACCATTCAAGCAGGATAATTCGCAACAGCCAAGAGACGGAAACAAGGCAAGAGTCCACGGCCAGATGAACGGCCAGATGGACTGTGGTCGACGCACACGACGGGGAGCATTCAGTCCTAGAAAGGACAAATTCTGACACCTGTCACCACACGGACAGACCCTGGGGACATTCTGCGGAGTGAAGGGAGCCGGTCACCACGGGACAGACACAGTGTGACAGCACCCACGGAAGACAGGACGGCGGGGGCCGGGGGCCGGGCAGGGGATGGGGGTCAGTATCTCGTGGGGGCAAAGCTTCAGTCTGGGAAGATGGAAAGTTCTGGAGGCGGAGGGCACTGCTGGTGGTTTTCGTGCCCCCGAGGGGCACTGAAGAATGGTAAATGTTATGTATATTTTACCACAATAAAGGGAATCATCTAGAGACTGTTGGTTTTACTAATTTCATCCCCCTCACACACAGACCCAAATATTAACCGTGGCCTCTGCAAACGACTGGTACTTTCTCCACAGTGATTCCCTGCATTCGGCAAACTCCCTACAACACATACGTTTCCTGCCTGCCGTGAGGCTGTGTTCGGGTTCAGACCACACTTCCACTTGGGCTAAACTCCAGGAGCAGGCTAATCCCCTGAGGTTCGTACCTCATAAACACAGACGCGCAGCTCACCGCCTCCACCGAGTGAGGACAGCGTCACAAGAAAAAGCAGCAGACACGGACCGGACCTGGGGGTGAACGCAGCCTGTGTCCGCGGATCAGTCACGCAACGTGCGCTCTCCCACCAAGTCGGGTCTCGGGCCCAACGACAGGGAGGTCGGCGTGTGGGTTCTCGGCGTTACCGTTAGGGAGTCGGTCAGCTTGCTCACAGGAGTAACCTGGGGAACACGTCCCAGGGCAATAAATCTCTTCAACAGAGAAAAACCAAACGCACAGGATGCTTTCCAAATGCAACTGTTCCCTTGGGGCGCCTGAGTGGCGCAGTTGGTTAAGCGTCCGACTTCAGCC